CATGTGATAGCAGTGACACAGATCAGGACATCTTACAGCAGTGAGGCAGTCCAGGTCATTTGATATTTTAACAAATTCCTGACAATGTTTCAAAATATATGGCAGAGCTGGTGCATTGATTCCCATTATTTCCATAAGCATATATCTTCTTTGGGATTTTTTTCCTTTGTGGGTTTGATATTATAATGAACTATGTTGATGGTTTTGATGCACAGAACTGTTGAAGTACAGGTTTACTTATTGTGTCTGTTGATAAGAGTTGATAAGCAGATAACTCTCATGTTGAATTTCAGAGCCCGTTTCACAGCACATTTCAGGAGGCTGTGTCTCATGGGAGACCTGAACTAGCTCTCAAACTCCATCAATGCAGCACAAGACACATCCGAGTTAGAGAGTAAAAGAGTAAAGGGCAAACAGTAGGCATCATATTCACTTTATTGGACTATACAGTGTGAACAAATATTGTTTTAATCTTCCTGTGGATTGTCACAAAGGGACTGAAGTGAATTGTTGCCAATAAGATATAAGACACATATTTAACGGCACTTCTGCACTGTGCATCGTGTTCTTTTGAACAAAACAAATACAAAACAAACTTAAAGCTAATTATTTTTGGTCACATGATTGACTAATAAAAAAGGAAATGAGAAACAACATATTCACAAAAATGTTATGCTTTAGTGAAAACTGACATTGGAATCACAAAATAGCGCTTGTTATGCTTTAGATACATGCATGAACCCAACACCTCCCACACATTTGCCAATTATCCCATCTGCTCTTGTTGTCATGGTAACCTCTGTAATGATAATTTACACCAAGGAAATGATGTCACTGTCATGCAGGCATTTCCCCCCAGCATGTGACCCATGACCTTCTTGTGTGTGTATGAGCAGAGTAATGCACTGGGTTCAAAGGCCATAGTTGGAGGGATTGGAAATACAGACAAACACACATACGCACACACGCATGCACACACACACACACACACACGCACACACACACGCACACAAACACTTCTGGGACAAACATTAGTGAGGATTTGAGTGCTAGACCCGTTATAGTAAATCAGCAGGGAATAGTAGGTGATAGACTGGACATCAAAGTACCCCCTCCACACACACCCACACACACACACACACACACACACACACACACACACATTCAGTATAGACTTCTACTGTGTGTTATATTGTTGATAAAGGAACAGTGTGTGATTTTTGGACATATATATTCTATTTGACTGTATCTGAGTCACAGTTTCATCCCAGTGCATCTCATGGGAGACTGGATTGTAACCTCAAAGCAGCAGAATTAGCATCTGCATGCCTGAGTGTCCTTGGGCAAGATACTGAACCCTGAAGTGCCCCTCATAGAAAAGAAAGTGCTGCCCATAGATGCACTGTATGTCTATGTGTGCAAACTGTACTGTAAAGTGCTGTGAGTGGTCATCAAGTCTAGAATGGCAATATGTAAATACAGACCTTTTACAAACAACCAACTGGTCAATGTTATTCCATACATTCTCGAAGTTCTAATAGGCCTTTTACCAAAGGATATTTTTAGAGGGCACATCACAGACCATTGAGAACTACTGGTAATGTTTTTCTGTCACTGATTTGCAATCACAGCTATTCTTTGGATAATTGTGTCGATATGTTTATCTTTAATTTAGACTTAATTTCTTGATCCTTAATAATGATCATTTAGTTTATGACTGAAAAGAGTGAACTTATCTTTGATAATTAATGACACTGTAACATTGTTGAGAGAACGCAGTGATAGCTTCATGTCAGCATTTTACTTGTTTCATGCAAGCTGGTACTGTGTCTTACCCATGGTTAATTTATTAAAGGCACTTTTATTAAAAAACTCGTAGTAGTATTATGTATTACGTAGTAGTTAACCAAATCCATCACATTGGCTCTGAGGTGTGAGCCAGTTATATATGACACACATTTATCCCTTGAAGGAGTTAACCCTAATTCCTGATTGGCATATGGCTCCATTTCAGATCAAACATCTCCATCATGAATCATATGGGAATATTTACACAGGCTAGAAACATAATTTGGAACATGCAGAACCTGAGGCTGTATAAAGGCAAATGGAAATTTTAGTCATACACACACATTCTTCTAACCCATCAATAGCAGCCTGAAATGAGTCCGTTATTGAATGTGTTTGTGCTGCTGGTTATGTTAGTTTAGATAGAGAGTCTTTACTGTCGGGGGAAGCTGGGTAAAAGGCAGAGGATGTCACACCATGTACAGATTGTTGAGCTCTTTGAGGCAAATTGTGATCTGTGAATATGGACGATATGGTGTAATAAAATTGTATTTGATTTTAAGCTGTCAAACAAGATAGCAAGGAGAGTACTGTATAGCCTTATTCACATACACATTTCCTTCAAGTAGGGCATACTACCATACCCTTTGGCAAAGCACTTAACCTAGTTAAACACCCCCAGATGTTCAATATGTGCCATAGTGTACTCATAAGGGGTATACTGTATAGCTTTAACACAAATTGGATGAATGCTTTAGTCATCAGATTGTGTTTCACCTATATTAGTAAGTTCTGGAAATCAAGCTAGTTCTAGCATGATAGTGGAAATCCAACTAACTATCCAACGTCCTCCAACCAGAAGGCTTCGATCCAAGTCTTCTCCATCTGCATGCTGAAATGGCAAGATACCAAACCCTGAATTGCCTCTCATAGAGAAAGTGTTGCCCATAGATGCACGGTTTGAATGTGTAAAAGGGTAAATGGCAATACACTGTACTGTAAAGCACTTTGAGTGGTCATCAAGACTAAAAAAGCTCTGTATAAATACACACCATTTAGCATTTAACTCTCACTGCTCTGTTACACTATGAGCAGTTTCCTGCAGTAGCTAATACTATCTGGAAGCCTCAGTGCAAGAGTAATACACTCAACAACACAGTATATGGTTACTGTAAAAAACAAGCCTCAATAAAAAAATTTGATAGCGCATTTTAGGAATCATTGATAATGTTTTTTTTAAAGATTAGCATTTTTAATATTTTTTTTATATTTACATTTTGGCCAATGTATTTCAGGGTTTTCCTGCATCGATAATTGTGAGGCAGCCTCCTCCGTCAAATAACGTTCCTGACAATTACGCCTTCTGACAAAATTGTAGTTCAGGGGTAACTTATATTGATCATGTTTTTACTGGGCCAAATCACTTAGCGGTCGATTACTATAAAAGAATTGCGTAGTTTCTGTATGATCATCCCAGAACTTGAGAGAAAGGTAACAGCCCACACACGCATACACACACTGACATCGGACATGTGTAAACTTATACTGCAAAACAACAAATTTGTAAACTTAGACAATGTATAGGAGAGCCGGAGGAGATGGTGATGAATGATACAGACACAGAGAGGAGCAGTGAATTACTGACAAAGCCGGTAAAAACTATAAAAAATTACTTTTTTATGATCAAAACATTTATGAAAATACCCTAAAAGATCACTGTAAGCAGACTTAGTAGAGCTGAGCATGGTTCCCTGGGTGTCTGCCCTTGGACTGGTACACCGCCCCCCTGGTCCCTAATTTTTGGCCAGGAAAAAACCTGTATTGGCAGAAATGTTTGACTCCCTAATAGGGATGTCGGAATTAACCAATTTTATGATAACCGTTGTTTCATAACGTCATGGTTTCATAACTGTAAGAATTGTAAAAACTACAATATCTAACTTTGGTGTCCTGCCTCTCACAAGTCACATAATTTGTGTGTGTGCCGTGCAGTGAAATCTCCTCTCGTGAGTCACGTTTTTGAGTGTGTGGTGCGTTGTGAAACGTTGGTTGAGAAGAGAGAACTGAAGTAACAGCCTTATATCCACCAATGCTGGACAGAAACAACATCTGTCAGTGACCCTTCACAACAAATGTTCCATACAGATACACTGTTTATAATAAAGGAAACCCACATTCACTGACCAACCTTCCACAATGAGGCAACTAAATAAAAACGCTTACATCAATTATTTTTAAACAGGCCCAACCCTACTACATAATTTTTATTTCAGCATGTCCTCCAGTCCTTCAGGCAGTCTCTGCGTTAGTGCGAGCTGTCTGGGGATGTGTGAGTGTGTGCTGCATCAGCAACAGCAGTAAGAAGGACAAAAAGAAAGAGCATCCTGTGATCCTAAGGGCAGCGGCTGGTGCAGAGACAAGCTCTTTGATAGCACAAACACACAGTTGGAGAAACAACTAATGCAGACAGTCCTGAGGCATGTGTGCATGTGTGTTTGTGTGTGTATATGTGTGTGTCTGCTCAACTGTATCTTCTGCATCTTCCTGTGCTCAGGCTGACAAAGACTTAGTAGTCAGCAAATCAGACTCAAGTCTTCCCTTCAGAGTTCTGAACCTTTTAGCTATAAACATATTCATTATTTACTATAACCTATTGAGTGGTGCATTCTTCATGACCCACAACCTTGTGATACACATAGTGCTTATTTAGAATACTTTAATATGTGCACTGATCCAAGACCTCTTTTGAAATCGATCAACAGTTATTTTTGATTTGTTGGCTTAAAATAATAAATTCATGAGGTTATAATTTTTTTCCCTCTTTCCCATCAGGTCTGCTAAGTGGTCAAAACAAAGTTGGTGGACGGACAGAATACGCGTCCACACGCGTACGTAAGTCAGTGTATTATACATTTACTGCAAACCTCATGCACCAATTGTTACTGATTCCTCAAGCATATATGTCTATGGTAAAAGAGGGTTACATATCATTATGAATAGCCTTCTGTAAAAGGTGCTGCGCCACCTTAGTAAAACAGTTTAACTGATAGAAATGTTTCTCAGAAGATTTAGGTAAATCTGATTTAAGGTTGCCTGATAATGGTTGAGAAATTTCAAATCTGCTTGTGAATATCTAAATTCAGACTAATTTAACAACCTGCTTGACCATCAGTGTTACTCGGTTCTTCTGACACACCTCAGGCGAAAGTGACTTACAGAGATGTACTTTTGTTTAATTTCTCTCTGTTGCTGCAGTGTTACTGCTTGACTGATTACAGCACACTGTGATTATTCACTGACAAATTACGATGATAGGTGAAGGTTACATCTAGAGGGTTAGGCCGTAAAAGTGGTTGCCGTGAGTGCAGCAGCTGCAGCTGCTGGCAACTTGTACCTGCACTATTTATTTATGTGTGTGTTAGTCATTCCATTTCTGTGGTTGAGCACATGATGATAATTGTGTACGATGGGTGGAGGGCTATTTTGGGTTGTTTGTAGAAGAAAATTGGTGATTCTGGATTGAGGGTATATGTGGAGGTCAGCAGAATGGTTGAGGGGGTACTTCATGTGTTAATGCCTCGAGCATTGCTACTGAGATACAAAACAATACGTCCAGAGAAATAATCAGGTTAGGTATTTAGAGCAACCATTTGCAGTTACAGACATTTGATAGTTTACTGATTATGGTGGCCCTCCGCAAATAGTTTGATTTTTTTTTTAAAAAAAAAGGTTGTATAATGCACAGAGGCAATAAGTGGAAAAAACACCTTAACTGACTTCTTAACTGCTTGCCTTATCATTAAGCTAACTTGGAGCAGTTTCTGTGTATAACATATGCAGTGAATAAACAGAAGAATAATGTGTAAGAAAGGGGATGTAATGTGAGTGTAAATGTAATGTGAGTCATGTGATGCAAATATTAGGATATTTCATATTTTTACCGTTGCAGCTTTTGCCAATGCAAGAAGAACAAGGATGATGCACACAAACACAAGTATCATGATCAAAACCTGCTCTGTTTGTAGGCATATCATTGTAATTCAATCTACAATGAATTGAACACTCTATAATACACTCTACATGTGAAATTATAGATCACCCACAAATGCATATTCAAAATCTACATGAGTGGTGAATATTGTCATTTCACCTCCTCAGCACTGTTCCCTCTCTGTTTGACCCAGAATTGCAACATTAGCACTCCAGCATCCAAAGAGACTCTAATGGAATTTCACAATCTTGGGAACAATGAAATAGTACAGATATTGTGCAAGTGTTAATGTGAACTGTGTTGGGGATGGGCAGATCGGCATAGCTGAATTTGAATGCTCTTTCTACAAAGGCAAAGAGAAAACACACCAAAGACCAATCTTAAATTAATCTACCATTTTAAAAGGTCTGAATTTTCACTCTGTAATATGCAGTTTATTGTCAAGAGTTGACCAAATCTCCATGTTAATTCATTGACTTTGAGTCTCTGAATCCATTCAAATAATAATAAAACTAGCCCAAATCAAACCCTGTATTGTGCCTGCAGCTGTAATCATCAGGCTTCAGTCACACCAATCATGATTGCTTTCAAAGTTCATTTGATGGTGAGAAATGTTTTAAGCTCTTGCATTTTAAGAGGCCTCCCTTAAGAAATACAAAAAATGTGAGGGCTACGATAAGAAAACGAGTCACATGATTAATTGATTTTTTCTAAATTTGGCATGAAAAGTAAAAATGTTATACCCTAACAAACTTGATGCGTAAAAGCTATTCCATATATTAGAACCTGTATAGACCAGGTGTATATTAATGATAGCTCCATGTCTCATCTTGGGCGATGGACAAAAGCAAAAAAAAATAAAAAAACAAAACAGTTTTTCAATTTTTTTCTACTTTAGCAAAGATATGCAAATTCCGAGCAGTTTGTAGAGGTAGATTAGCATTTTGAATGTGTTTGATGATAATGAAACCCTTAGGCTAAACTAAAGTTTGATCAAGTTGTGTTTTGGTGGCCTCAGACAGGTCACCAGTTCCAGAAGTAGTAAACCAACGTATGTAAGCTAGGACAACCAGATGTGAAACAACCTACAGTTGTTGTTAGAGATGCCAGCCAAACCATACCTGCCAGCTCACTTTGTGTTCCCCCATGACTACAATGACACCAAACAGAACAATTGTCATTTTATCATGTGCAGTCTGACATCATAGACTCTTTTTATACAAACAAAAGAACAGGATGCAAGAATCTGCCATTTATCACATTTAAAGGTACAGTGTGTAGAATTTTGTGATATCTAGTGTTGAAATTGCATTTTGCAGCTGAACACCCCTCACCTCACCCTCTCCTTCCAAACATGAAAAAGAACCTGTGGAAGCCTTCAGTTGAGTAAAAACTTAAAAGATGTTTAGTTTGTCCAGTCTGGACTAATGTAAAAAAACATGGCTGCCTCTGTAGAGAGGATCCACTCCCCATGTAAATATAAAGTTTTTAAATATAAAGGGCCTTTTATATGGTAAAGAAAACTACAATTCATATAATTTAGATGAAATGAACAAGTGAAAACATCACTAGGATTATTCTACATTCAATTTATGCCAACAGATCCCTTTTACCTTAATCTTACACACTGGACCTTTAAGACTTGCTCTGTGATGCTTTTCATTCCATGTTGTTGACGCCCCACATCCTGATGGTGACATGTTGTTGAATGAGGGACTTTGTAAACTTTGTGGAAAAGATAATGTTTCATGAGGAGCAGCCTCAGTCTGTTTGTGGATGTACAGGTGACTCAATGTCGAGGCAGTTCCCATACACACAAGGATGTCTAATACTCAGGTTACTACGAAACAATTCACAGAGCGAGGATGGTATTGGATTTACAATTTCTACTTTAGTGGTAAAAAAATCAAAACTCTAAATAAATAGAATAAATAAACCAACCAATCTATGCATCAACCCACAAAGAGGGCTTATATTTAGGCTATTTGTGTTTTGTATGTTTAACAGGAGCAACCTCCTTGGTGCCATGCAGTGGGCTTGGCAGAAATTATATCTTGAATGGGCCAGTACAACAGTGGGTGGGTAATTTCTGGTCTTTGGTATAACATTTTTGGGTGCTAAAGCAATTTATATCTAAATAACTATGTGTATGTGTTTTGATGAGGATCTGACTCTCGGCCTGTTGCTTGGTAAGCTCATTGTGATAAGACAATCCAAATCCCTCCTCCCAGTATACAAACTGTTCCCCTCTTTAGTACCTCATAGTGAGTATGTTTTTTTTCCTGAATGCCAAAATATTCCTTGAACACAAATGTGTAAGCATTTATACTGGGTTTGAAATTATCATGTGATTAAACATTTTAGGGACACGATTCTGCCAAAATATAACTGTAAAAACTGAGTAGTATACATGTTGCTGCTCAACTGCTATTTGAAGTAATGTGTAGTATGTCATATGCAATGCTCACTGACCCTTTTTCTCAGTGGTTGTTTGTCATTTGTACGATAATGCACTGCAGGGTGTAGAGAGAGTTCCACACGTGGAGACAAGCTGTGACCTATTTCAGAGCTTTTGCTGCTATTACTCCTCTCTGTCGATCTCTCTATTCCTATCTTCTTTATCTCTGTTACTTTCTCATCACGTTTCTCTCTTAAGGTTTACAGTGGACTGTGTGGTATGTCCTTTTCCTTATCCCTCTACTGTTCCCTGCTCTGTGTGTGTGTGTGTGTGTGTGTGTGTGTGTGTGTGTGTGTGTGTGTGTGTGTGTGTGTGTGTGTGTATACACGCTCAGTAATTAAAAAGAGATAATGTGATACTGGTCAGTTTTCACAACATCTGGACTGCACAGTGAGGTTTTGTTGGTGTGTGTGTGTGTGTGTGATTGGCTCCTCATGCCAGCCCATACTGTGGTCGTACCTCCCGAGGGACATATTAGCTATTTAGTTGAACACTGTGGACTGACATGCCACCAGATGGTTTATGCATAATATCCGTGTGTACATGTGTATGTGCGTGTATGTTGTATGTATGCACATGTGTGCGTATGTGTGTGTGTGTGAGGGAGGTGTTTGCAGGTTTTGGGGGAAATCTGACAACTGCCCTTGGGCCATAAAGCTGTTGGGTCCCCTCTCTTGAGAAGTCAGTCTGTTACTCCACTGCTCACAGTTGAAAGAGACAAGCATGCCTGCTCTTACAATGTTACATTGTTGACATTATCCCAATTGAATATCATGCTGCCGATATGCCTCATGACATTCACTGTACAGTACAGCTTTATTAATTAAAAATAATCATACTTTTTTTATGGGAAAGGGGTATTGTATTAGTCTATTATATTTAAAAGGCAGTATATATAACTCTTTTAATCAGCAGTTTGTTTGGTTTGGATGATTTGTTTGGCTGTCAGAGAAAATAAATCAGATTAGCTCAAATAAAAATGTTCTCATATTTCTGGCCAGATGTTATAAAGATTAAAACTGTTCAAAACACAGAATAACAGTAGCAGCAATAAGCCAAAAATTAATTTGTAAAAGGTCGACTGATCTTTCTGAAGGTCCATATTCTTTGCATAATTAATATTGGATTTATATATAGTGTATCATGTTTTGGGGATCTTACCTTTAAAGACACAACATTAAAGGGATATTAGTCCATTTTTTTCAACAAAGAATATTGCTTCATTGATTTGGACTGAACAGCTATAAAATCCTTCACACTTTATACAGTTGAGGTCCAGCGAAGTCAGAGTCCTCATCAGCACCTCATCAGTGCTTTGTGTTAATTTTACCATCCACATCTTCTCAGTTTCCTGGAGATTTAAAATGGCAACCTTATGGTAAACATCCACCCACACTCCCACATGATTTTATTTTGAATGTATCTTGTTTACTGAGCTTTGAGCTCTGGTATAAATCAAAGCGAGGAGTACTGTGGGGGATGCCAGCATGCAGGGAACAGGGATTAACAGAGGGCAGGTGGTCCTTGCGTGGCTGTAATGTGGACATGGTGGGATGTTAATTAGAAAGCTCTGCATGGTGGACTGGCTGCAGAATTTTTACAAAGGCTAAAGACATCACTGAATGTAAAAATCATGAATATAGCCATTACATCACCTGTAGGTTGTATTAAACTTCTCTTTGGGTTTACCAATCACAATAACCCAATTGCTCAGGCCAGAAAATTCTATTTTGGACAAAGGACATTGATACCTGGTATGGAATACAAGTGGGACAAACAAGTACCCCCAATAAACAATATGTTTGAACACACAGGTCAGGAGTTGAACATAACCTTTAGTGAGGGAAGGCCACATAGGAGTTGTTAGTGTTAGTGTTATGTTTATTTTCTGATTGTTTTGCGTGAGTAGCTTAATGGCATTAGTTGGAAGGTGCTGGAACACCATTCGGAAGGGGTCTGGTCCCTTTAACCCCTTACTCAGGTGATAACCACATCTCTTGTATGAACTGTAGTGTTCCCATCACATTGAATGTAAAAATAAAATCCCAAAATTCATATGTTGACAGGCTATTGCCCCCCCCGCCACTTAAAAATGTGTTTGCTAATACTGTGTAATGTTTGAGCTTCACCTCACTGTTATCCAACCACCAGTTTAACCTCTGAAATGAAATATTTAAATATACTTATGGATTTTGAACATTTCAGTAAGGGAGAAGTAGTCAAGTCATTCCAATGACTGTACAGCATCTGAACTTTTTTGAGAAAAAATAACACATTAGTTCATATTTTTCATGTCATTTGTGATTTTTTCTGATCGGTGAGTTCATTTGTTTATTAGCTCATCGCTTTTACTTCACTTAATGACCCTTATGCCCTCAAGAGTTTTGTTACACCAAAGGCAAAATGGCCTTTCACCTAAAATGATGAAACTGTGATCGTGAACATTAACCAGTACAGACAGTACTGTGATAAGATATAAGAGTATCATCTTGATATCAGTACATGACTATGTTTTATCAAGTATTGACCGTACTCTATTCAGGAAATTCATTAAAAGTATTCCACATTTTGCTGTTAAAAGAGTGTGAAAAGCCTAATCCCACTTATAGAATCAGGGGCACAGGGCTTCTCTTCTATTTTGTTTCCAGGCTGCTCTCTAAGGAGCAACAAAGAGACTCAGCTGTGAATGTAGGCCAGAGTCGACACACTCTCTTGTGTCAGAATACATATACACAACGACGCACTCACCCCCACATACACACTTTATACTGCACATATACTCCACTGTCTACTATGCTGTCTTCATCCTAACCATCTGTCTCTGTGTCTGTATTCACAGGTCCTCGGCGCGGCTCTCAGGATAATTATCTGGCCAATAAGGAGTGGTGAGGCGCAAGGCAAGCCAGTCAGGGAGAGATGTTGGGGCAGGGCAGGCATACGGCCCTGGCTCTCATGTCTTTACTGCTTCTATTGTGGCATGAGGCAACACCCATTGAAGTCCCACAAGACCGTAAGTCACCCAGCAATCATCAGATCCATCTTATCTCAATATGTTACAGCAAATGGTGATACAAATGCCATACTGTTAGATCCAACCGTTTATTTGGTTGAAATGGATGGCTCTGACGTGGATAAGAATTTGGTTTGCCCAAGAGTGGTCAGTGCTGCCTGAATTGCTGTTGCCCCATTGACGTGCTCTATGTAAAACAGTATGTTGGAAAACTACAGTATTTCAGATGCTAGTGCTACTCAAGTTATTAGATGTATCTGATTAGCTCACATTTTGGCGGGGGTGGGGATATGAATAAAACAATCTGCATTTCAAGATTCAATATTTTAGGTGTTTATTTTAACACCATTTATACATAAACAAGGAAGCACCATTGGCAAAAACAAAAAGGCATTTTAGTTCGTAATAAAGATGAAGCAATAAAGACTGACAGTACTAAATTAATATCAGTACAGACATAATAGAAGTTGATTTTATTTCAATGTGTTTAGATGTCCTTCAGAAGATATTTTTGAGCTTTTGAGTACCCAAAATAATCTCTTCTCTAATGCTTCTCCCTGGAGCACTAGCATGAACATTGCATTTTCCCTGTCTCTGTCTCTGAACCTCACTTATGATTGGCTGCCTGGTTGTTCCTCACAGGTCAACGACAGGTAACAGATTGTAATCTAGGCCTATTACTGTAAATGACAAAAGAAAATATCAACTTTAGCAACTCTGCTCAGTAAAGGAATCGCTAGTGGGCCCAGGTGGACCACGTTCTCAGCATGACTGTATAGTTGTGACATCAAAACCCTCAAAGCAATTTATGCTCTAATTTTTTAAAGTGTGTTGTTGGAGCTAGAGTGGTGATCACATCTGTCACATATGCCTTATATCTCTGGGTAATACTGTGTCACTTCAGGTGGCTGCCATACAGTAAATTCAAAAATAAACAAGTCGTCATTAAATCAATGCAAATATTAATATATTCAATTCAAATTCAAAAGACTTTATAGACTTCCATTGCACGGTCGTACTCCGTACACTAGCACAACGAAATTGCGGCACAGTCCTCCTCCTTGATGGCAAACATACAATTAACAAGACACAAACCACTACACAAATTGAGATATAAATAAGGGGATTCCAGGACTAAAGGCATTTAACAAAGTGGATGTACTATACAAAAAATTATTATTGTACTGATAATGTACCGGTACATGCAGATATAATGTACAGAAACTGTACAGAATAAATGGTAGCAAATCACAGCAATTCTGATACAACAGGAGAGTTTTCAGGAAGACACACTGCCTGAATGGATTCTGTTGTTTACTTGAGGGATCTGTAGACAAAACCACAGAGAAGAAAGGCTCAAGTTTCACATTCCCTTTTCTTTTTACTCTCCCTCAATGTGGACACTCTTTTTTCTCTCTCTCACACACACACACACGCAACCAAATGAGCAGAAAGGACATCTGGTTTAAATAAACAGGCTACATCTGGACAGAACATTTTAACTAAAAGTTGTGAAACCATGGAACACTACAGTGAGTGAAATCTAATAATTAGTAACTATTTATGTCACCTCTTAAACAATTCAGTGTGTTTAAAATCTCAAGTGCCTGTCTTTAAGTAAGAAATGGATTAAAATGTGCAAAAATAAAAAATATGCACTGAAACTTTTGTATTATTAACAATAGTTGGAGACTGAGGCCCATTGTTAATTAATGTTTTTTGAAGACACCATTTGTTATAAAGTGGTTTTTGATCCGTCCGTCAGCTTTTCAATGCAAATTATTCACAAAATCATGCTTTATATGTTCAAGCCTCCCCCCCCAGCCTTGTGTCAGAATCACTAACAAAGGCGCCACATGCTCCACTGCTGATGCTTTAATTCAGTAGGGAAAAATCCCATCCCCCTCTTTTCCTTCTGTCTACTTATCTATTTCACAGCACACTGCGCTATTGACCTTTATCAATTGGTGCTTTCCACACATCCTCCACACATGCATCTCATCATCTGAACATTGAACCTGCATACATGTGTGTGCAAAGCACATACCTAATATCAAGGCTTATCTGCTGTAAAAAAAGACACAAAATCAAACTCCTGATAGAGGGTCGGTCTATAACCAGAGTCAGAGAAAGCTATAATCACCCTGAATAAAAGCACAAAAAAAACAACTAATAATAATATAATGATATATACTATACTATACTTACTAATGTAAAAAACATGGCGGCCTCTGTAAAGAGGGTCCCCTCGATGTAAATATAAAGTATTTAAATATAAAGGGCCTTTTCTGGGGGTAAAGAAAACTACAATTCATACAATTTAGATGAAATTAAGTAGTGAAAACATCATGAAGATTATTCTCCATTAAATATCTGCCAATAGATCCCTTTCACCTAAATCTTACACACTGGAACTTTAAATAAATATATATATATATATATAAGGATCTTCTCTCCTCATGCAGTTAACCCATTTAGTGAAAGTTTAGGCTTTTGTTCTTTAATGTGATTGGAATCCTATGTTGAAAGACATCTGTTACCTACAGTTTGACAGCTGAATAATGTGACCCAATACATTCTTCAATATCAGATAACTGTATTTTATATAATCAATGGTTATTCAGTAATCATGTGTGTAACAATTGTGAAAAAATAACATGATTAAAAGTCTTCTCTGACATATATTGAGGGAACTCAGTAAACCACAGCACACTACATTTACAATCATCCTATCATTGGTGCTGCAGAAAGACAAAAATGCATCTGAATCATGTGCAGAATCTGGCTGCCAAAGCAAAGTTTGATACCACCAAACATAAACTCTGATAAAATTAAAGAAAGTCTGGTGAGCAGTGAGCTCCACTGTCCCCTGACAGTCTGAACTCATTAACCCTGGACCTTAGTCTTGTATCTTTCTCTGTGTGGGATTTTTGGCTTGTCCAGAATAGTAAACAGTACACACAGTACACAGCTCTTCTCAAAGTTCATGTGGTGGCCTCCCTATACATCCATGCATGTTAAGTTGTAAACACAATTTTGGTTCTATTTCCCTTCTGTTTCTAGATGATGAATTGTCAGAGAATTAACCTGTGTGAGATTGCATTATTGTGTTGGATATACAATCTTAAGCATAACTTGTGTGTTGTCTTTGTCTTCCTCATTGCTCATACTTTGCTGATATGGGAACTCATTACAGGTGAGTCCTTGTCACTGTTTCTCTGTTTCATTGTGTCGATCACACTAATATAGATACTTATTCACATAAGCTCTTTAACATAGTGTATCGATTTAACCTGTAACAACGGTCCCCAACTGGTCCAGATTTCCCTACAAGTTGAGGTCGACCAACACAGTTCCTCCTGGAACTGTGAAAATGGACCCCACCAGATTAGGAACCACTAAGCTATAACATATACACGATGAATCAAAACATTTCTAACATAGTATTATCAATGTTTTATGTCTTTGATATAATTAACAATCACATTACACTTTGTCCACCTGTGTCTTCGTCTCTCCTTGGCTTTACTTTGGACTAACAGCAAAGATCCAGCAAGACCGTAAGTGTTTCTTTTGAACAGGCCACTCTTAATGCCTCTTTCCCACCAGCTCATTTTATAGCTCATAGCTTATAATGTTGCATGTAAAAAAGACAGAACAAGTGTGCCTATGTTGAGATCACATATGCTTGGATAATCCATGAATAGTTTAATTTATGGGAATCTTTGAGGATGTGGTATAAAATGGTATAATAAAGAATGTTGTGTGCGATAGCTCTCATAGCCTAGTATGCATGCTACTGGTACACTTATACTCTTATGGTTACCATAGCAACACGAGTGCTATATAGGCCATAATACGGTGCCGTTTCAGTTCTGGATAAGATTAGCTTGAAGAGCTTTAATTACAGAGGGAAAATGTTCTTTCATCTCTGTCCTCTCTCTGCCTCTGTCAGGCAGCTGGCTCTCTGAAGTGCTTCTTATCTTTAAAACAAACAAAAAAGGAAGAAATCTGTGCAAATGAAAGAAATGTGATATTCTATATTTTCTTTCTGTCAACAAATCCCTGAACAGACTAATCCAACAATGAGTGTAATCAGCTAACACGTTTTATGTGTGTAACATATTGCTCTGAGCTACAGAACTTCAGTGTTGTTCATAACCTATTAAAAACACATTTGTGTTCATTAAGCACTGTAGTTAATTTAGACTCCACAGACACTGTCCCGCTGCCCTAAATACACAATAGAGCTCCAAATGTGGATTCTTCTATTGCAGAAAGTAGTCTAACAAACTGATTAATGAATGGTCTTTGTGTGTATATATACCTCTCTTATTTTGAAAAAAAAGGCTATGGCCTGCCCCTCTGGCAGCGCCACTGCATTACACAACAATCTGCAAAAACACTGTGTTTTGCAATAATCCGTGGCAAGAACTTCAAAGGTCAACGGCCATGGTGACTTCATATGAGTCTGGGAAAAGAAAGTTATGTAGACTGAAACTGCACTGGCTGGTGGAGACATACAAGCACAGCGTTGTAATTCTAGTTTCATTAGAATCATACTTATTGTCTTGTAGGTTTTTAACATTTAAGGAATTTACTTGGGTGTTTGGTGCATAACAAAAGTAGAAATATTGGGGGAAAGTTCACCGAAAAATGAAAGTTCCCTCCATCCACTATGCAAAAGGCATAATAAAAATCAACCTTAAGTTAAACACTAGATATAGTAAGACTCAATATAGGGATCATTTTAAGTATTGATGTCTTTGAGTCCACAAACACTTCTGGAGTCTCAGTGGTAAACTTTGTTGCAGCAGTATCCAATGCACTTGAAGTCAATGGTGAGTCCTTCTTCAGATGTAATAAAACAACAGAAAAACACAACATGCCTCCAGACTGCTTCTGTGGTGTCATCCGAGTGTTGCAAGCCCCGACATTCCAATTCGACTCGAAACAAGGTCATTTGCACTGGGTTTTAAGCCTAAAAGTCCACCAGAAGTGGTGATGCTAGTGGACCTAGACACAAGATGGTGTGTCTGAGGGTCCGTGAGTGCACCAGTTTGGGAAACATCTGTGGACATTTACGCTAAAAACTTAAATTACATCGTTTTGAGTCCAATATGAATGTCGGGGCTTGCTGACACTTGGATGAGGCAGCACGAGCAGTATGGAGGCATGTTTTGATTTTTTCTGTTGTTTAATTGCGTCTGAAGTCTTGGTCACCAGTGACTACAATTGTATTGGATTCTGCTGCAGCAATGTTTACCCCTGAACCTCCAGAAGTGTTTTGTGGACTCAAACACTTCACCCACCCCTCCATCTGCATAGTGTTGAGTAGATAATGAGTAAATTTACTGTAATGAAAGAAATCAATGTATTGATCTTTAGGAAAGCTGTACATAAATCTCTAGCTCCTGAAAATTAGTAGCAAGTGATTACTGAATTAACATGCAAAACAGAACTGTGTGTGTGTGTGTGCATGGGCTTGAATGTTTGTGTTCATTATGTGTACATAGCCTAATTTCTGTAACCCTTTCTTTGTCTCCTTCCTCCTTCCACAGTGAAGCAACCCCCCACTATAGTCAAACAGTCAGTGAAGGACTACATTGTCGACCCAAGAGATAACATCATAATCGAGTGTGAGGCCAAGGGCAACCCAGTACCATCGTAAGCACACACACACACACACACACACACACACACTAAGAGTTGTGTTTCCAGGGGGTCAGAAGACATTATATTGACTTACATTCATTTACAAGTGACTTACTCTAGCTACTACTTGCCTACTATTAACCTAGCCTAAACAATAATGGACATTAAAGTCCAATAGCTGAGTGGCTAAAAGTTAGCAACATTAAATAGTGTGACAATTAATTATTTGGGAAATCTGACAGTAATTCAGAAAACATGCTGAATAGGTCACAGTAAGACTGATGTGACAAAATGACAAACAAATAAGCAAGATTCTAATCAGGGAAACGACTCATAAAGGACTTAATCTTAAAGTGATGCATTCCTGTCATATGACTTTTAATGTCTATCATTCAATCCATTCACTGAAGTACATTTTATTTTCTCTTGTCTTGTCTTTATTTCTCTCCTCTGCTGTCTTTTGTCACCTTGCTCTGTCTGTTCTTGGTGTCTCTTTGCCCTCCCCACCCTTTTATCTCCATTGATTTTGGTCTGTTAGTACCAGTAAGAATTATGAGGGGTGACAGTGCCACTCCGATGTGCTCTCCTGTCAGTCTGTCCTCCACTGTCTGTCTCTCTCTGACACACAATAGCACATTTTCATCTTAACCACCCTTCCTTTTTCAGTGACAACCTTACCCTTAACATGAATGGTTGCTTGCCCTAAAGCTCCTTTGCTGCCCTCTAACAAACCTTTAAACTCAGTGTGACACCTGTTTGCATGCCTTGTACAGCCCCTGCTTGACAAGTAGTCTGCTGTGCTTTTCACTGCCCCACCCAGCTACTTGTCCTGCAGAAAAGGCAAGGCATGGTAGCTTTATTCATATAGTATGTTTCAAACACTGAGGCGATTCAAAGTCTTTTACATGGCCACGCGACTCCTGCACAAATTCTCTGTTTGAAGATGTGCCATTGTCTATGTCAGAACAGCCCTCTTGTGAAAACTGCTTGATGCACACCAAACTCCATTTGTGAAAAAGCAAAGAATAACAGATGCTTAATGAGTTGCAGTATAAGAATCAGTTTTGGTTAGCTCTCTGTTTAAGAGAAACAAAGTATCAGTCTCAGTGCTGTGATGTTTTATGCCAATATGAGCAAAATATAATTTTTATTTAATTAAATTTAATCAGAAAAGCTTTCTAGATATTTTCAGGTTAAGGAAAATTAGAGTTTGACCTGTAACTGTTATCTCCATCCGTCTGCCTGTCTGTTCTAGCTGCTGCAAACTTCAAATATAGCTTACTTGTCTTCTTATACAATATTTTCCTCCAATCCTGTTTGTGTGTATTTGTGTATGTATGTCCACACAAAAGCCGCTTTAAAACTTGCTGTGATATACACTCATTCATCAGTATTCTTCTTCTTTGGAAATAATGACATAATTCACACTCTTACATGAGTGTAGCACACACATACACACATTGGGCCTCCAGTGATTACATCAGTGGGGGTATGACCAGTTCAGGACAGTGGTACATTGTTTATTTGGAGACAGACTGGCTTTACGTAAGACACACACACACACACACACACACACACACACACGGACATCAATCCAGATACTTACAAACACACACACACACACATCACAATACAGCACTCACAGCCACTCTCCCATGCACACATACTGGCTCTCCCATTCCCAGGACAAGCATTGTTCTGCAGTAATGCACTCAGTTGACTATTCATGCTCATGAAACATTCAGGAAAGGGGATCGTTCACTTATTCTCTTACAATCAGCGTCTGACTACAAACACACACCACAACACAGAGATGGTCTCCAGTGCTTCAACAGTAGTTGATTGTTCAGGCTTAGCGCTGTACCTCAAACACGCCCCAATTGACTAACTCACTTAAAAATGTCAGGCAGCATCTTTTGTAAATCCACACTGCTTACTAAAAATAGGGGCGGGTTATGTAAGCATATTCAGTGTTCTTCCCTAATCAGGGAGCACCACATGCAACAGGATTAAGCAACAGCACTATTACACTATTACATAGAGGCCGATGTGATATTTTTTTGCTGTTAGAATGCGCCTGTTTATATTATAACATAGCAAATTCATGACAAGCAAAGGAGTTATTCTTTTTCCAGCTGTTAACAACAAGTCAAATAAAGTAGGATCGCCAGAAAAGAAACAAAAAAAACAAGGCTGTTTTGGAACAACCTGCACTCACAGATAAAAGCTCACAGTTTCAGGATGATGTAGATTTCCACAGGACCATTCCATCAGTTAAACTAAATTACAATTCAGGCTTTTGATTGGGCTTTAGCAACACACTCCTGTTCCATACATATGAGCTATAGGGAATGGATGGATGGTTGGCATTAAGGGAGGAAGGAAGGAAGGGCGTTGCAATGTCAATGCATCACAACTTGTTTAAGTCCTTGGTTCACACACAAACAACAATTTATCCTGCATGAGACTGAGGTTAGGACCGGCTTTTTCATTAGCATATGGACAGAAATACATAAATAAATAAATGTGAATTAAATAAATTTGGAAATAAATGTAAGCCATTTATTTATTTATTTCCTTATTTATTTATGCATATATTAATGTATTTATTTATACATTTATTTATACTTAAGTCATTTTTTGTCCTCCATATTGGTTTAGTAAGCCCCCACAGATGTGTGTTGATAACTCCAATTCAATGGCTGTATAATAATCAACAGAGTCATGTTGCACTCACTCTAACCTTTCTGTGAGTATACTCTCACATATGCATTTACCTGGATATACAATATGTGCTGAGGTGTTTATTTGCTGGGGATATCTTACATCATGCAAATATAAATGATATTGTTAGCAAACAGTTGTCTCAGGGTGCTGCACAAAAGTCCAAGATCTATAAAGAGGACATAAAGAGGACAACAGCGCAATCGGCTTCAGGTCCAGGCAACATTACAATGAATGAAATTCTTTGGCTCTTTGTATTGTTGCTCAGGTTTTCATGGCGAAGGAATGGGAAGTTCTTCAACATTGGGAAAGATCCCAGGGTGACTATGCGAAAACGCTCGGGAACACTGGAGATTGGTTTCCGTAGCGGAGGGCGACCAGAGGACTATGAAGGAGAGTACCAGTGTTTCACTAGCAATGACTTTGGAGCAGCTCTGTCCAACAAAATCCTGCTGCGGGTCTCAAGTAAGAACTTACACATGCCACTTCACAATATTTCAGCTTAGACCACAAAAATATTGGAGATTACAGAAAAATAAACAGCTAATTCTGATATTTTGTCATATTATATGTAGTCTTTGTTGCAGTAAAAGGGATAAATTACAGTATAATTAAAGTGAACATTATTCAGGTTCCTCACAGGTCTTTGAAGTAGGTCTATATTTTCACATATTATATGGAAAATAGAATGTTGTATTCCTTTTGATATTTTGTTACAGTTACACTATATTGCCAAAAGTATTGGGTCACCTGCCTTGACTCGCATATGAACTTAAGTGACATCCCATTCTTAATCCATAGGGTTTAATATGTTGACCACAACTTCAATCAGCAGAAACACCTTTCATTTTGTCAGTATGGCCAATCAACTCCAAGAATAATGACAAGCTCCATTCTGATTAGCTCATTATCACAATGAACCCCTCCCCCCCCCTCTTTCTCTCTCCATCAGAGGCTCCTCTGTGGCCCAAGGAAGTGTTGGAGCCAGTGGTGGTGACTGAAGGCTCCCCACTGGTTCTACCCTGTAACCCCCCACCAGGTCTTCCTCCTCCGTTCACCTTCTGGATGAACAGTGGTAAGTACTAATTACACACAGATATTCACCTCCATACAAGTTAATTTCTCCATCCTAATGAAATCAGGTGCAGTCTTATCTCTTATAGGGATAGTTCGGCCAATGCCAATGGAGGGGTAGGTATTTGAGTCCACAAAACCATTTTGGAGTTTCAGGGGTAAATGACAACAGAAAAAAACGTAAAATGCCTCCATCCTGCTCCTCATCCAAGTGTCCGGAAGCCTAGACATTCAAATTAGACTCAAAACAGCATCATCTACACCATGTTTTTAGCCACCATGTCTTCATAAGATCTACATGTCATCTTCCTTGATCTCGCTAATGCATTTGGGTCAGTTCCACATAGTGTCCTCTGGGCTGCTTTCGACTTCTTCAAAGTACCTATCACAAAAGTTGAGAATATGGAGAGGATTAACTCCTATGTGAGAAAGTGGTTAGTAGTCCCAAGATGTCTGAGCAACATCGGCCTGTATGGACATGGCATTCTCAAGCTGCCTATCTCAAGTCTCGTAATGTAGTTTATATGCACCAGAAAAAGACTTGAGATGACTCAATGTCCTGATACCAATCTATATGATGAAACCAAACCTAATGCAGAGTCTGAACAAAAATCCATCCTGCTCACTATGCTCAGCTCCAGCTACCCTCAGGCATATCCTCACTGGTTGTAAATTAAGTCTTTCCCAAGGTAGGTATACATTGAGACATAACCAGGTGATCAAATGCCTTGTAGCAATAATAGAAACAAAGAGAACTGCTACCAATAAAAACATTTAACGCAGTTTAAAGGACAACATTTGTTTGTGAGGGGGAACCAGGAAAGGGGAAAGCCTACTCCACCGACCAGGAGTAGTCAGTTGGAGAAAGCCCGAGACTGGGAGATGTTGGTAGACGTTTGCCAGTGGCTTGCAGTCCCATCACATATTGTCACTACCACCCTATAACCAGACCTGATACTCTAGTCCAACTCCGTCGTCTGTCATCTACTTCGTTGAATTGACAGTACCCTGGGAGGATAATTTTGATGAAGCGAATGAGAGGAAAAAGCTGCGGTTCAGACATGACATTTGAGGCAGAGCAACGAGGCTGAAAAGCAATAGTTTGCCCTGTGGAGGCTGGCTGCCTTTAATCCTGGGATTAAAAGGCCGAAACACCTGATTACACTAAGGTACACAACTGAAGATATGTCCCTAACATCTGCTGGTGGTTAATAACATCCGACATTAACTGGCAGTAGGCATTAATTTGTGCGGCAGAACGTACATTACGCATTCTCCATCTTGTCCTATGTTCAAAAAAGGGAAAGTGTTTAGTTTAAAAGGCAAAAAGGTAATGATGACTGATCTACTGAACAGGCCACATGGCTCTCAAAGTACTGTCATACAAGCCACTGGCCAGTCAGATTTACCTTTAGCCTCAGTGTACCCTCAAGTTTGGCCTGTATCATTTATTACAAGCCCAAAACACTTGATGGCGCTAAACTGCATAGTTATGTCCCTAACATCCACCTACTGCTAGCATTTACTGGTCAGAAACTTAAATTGTGCAGAAGACCTTCAAACGTACAAGGATGTTTTATCAACATATAATCTCACAACCACAACACATTATATCAACTTGTCATATAGCCCAGACACTGCAGCACGCCAGTGCATGATTAAAACTGCCGGCTGGGTGCTGATTGGTCCTGGGACACTGTCTTGACAACTGCTCATCAGTTTGTGCAGTCACACAGTGTGGACAATAACTGTCTGGATGTCTGTGTGGGTGAACATTTGTCTTTAGTGACTGTAGGATCAGAGCTCACTTAAACAGCTGTTTGTGAAAATATATGCAATCGATAAGTTAGTGGTTCATATTAAAATGATCTTTGGTTCTACATTTTATTATTCTACTTTCATGACATTCAGTTGATGGTGACAGCAATTTCTTGATTAATAAATGTATGCTTTGTGTCAGAGAAGAATTTGGTGGCTAATTAAAATTAAGATAGGGAATGCAGGGAATGCGTGCGGTTGGATCAATAAATATATATATATACAATATCTATGATCAGGCTAAAGTACACTCACTGAGCACTTTATTAGGAACCTCTGTACAACTGCTTCTTCATTGTATTATTCAATCCACCAATTATGTGGGTGCAGTGCAGTGTATAAGATCCTAAAGATATAGGTCAAGAGTGTCAGTTAATGTTCATATTAAACATGATGCTCTAATCCATTTGTGGTGTTAGGAATGCTTTATTTCTTTGGCTGATATATTCTGAATAATTTTCTAGTAAAACACCAGGACATTTCCTGGAATTAAATAAAGCAATGCATCTGCTCAGACTGAATACTGACATTGTTCTTGTATAAGCCGATCGGCATCAGCTATTAAATAGTTCTATCCACAAAACTTCTCAAGAAATAACAGACCCATGAAATAAAGTGTTACTTTAGCTTCATTTTCCCTGACAATCATAATGGGTCTTTCATGTTCCTCTAGAAGTATTGTTTTACGACTTGTCCAAGTGAAGATTTTTTAAATTAAAGTTGATGTTTCAGTTTCACATTTAATTTGCAAATCCATGTCTTTGGTGCAGTGCTTTGAAAAAAATAATGGTTAATGTTAATATATAAATACCAGCCATGAGTGATGCTCAGGATGCTGTGTAGTTGCTGTGCAAATATGGTATGTTAATGTGGTTTCATTTCATCTATCTTTTCCTTTTTTTCCATATCCCTCTATCCTCCTGTGACTTCTAGCTATGACCCCAATACCACAAGATAAGAGAGTGTCCATGGGTTTGAATGGAGACCTGTACTTCTCCAATGTTGTTGCTCAAGATGCTCACACAGACTACAGCTGCAATGCTCGCTTCCTCTTCACACACACCATCCAGCAGAAGAACCCCTTCACACTCAAAGTTCTCACCAGTGAGTAGAAAACACACACACACACACACACACACACAGACAGAGAGAGAGAGAGAGACAGAGTATGAGAGAGAGAGTCATGTCTGCTGTTTTGATCACATACCGATAAACTCAAATGGGATGTAACTTATCTCCATCTGTGAAATTTCCTTCCACCAGAAAAGTGAAGACATGCAATATTGGATTCTCTGGATTTAATGTGAAAGCCTTTCTTTCAGCTGTGCTTGTGTATCTTCAACACTACTACGTGCCATCATGCCCTATGTATTTGTTTTTGTGGGGACTGATGATCCACTATGTGTGCCTTTTTTTCAGAGGAGCCATATAATGACACATCTTACAATGCCACTGACCCATATGGTGGTGAGTCACTTCCTGTCAGGACAGCTTCACTTCCTGTTTACCTGTTCAGTCACACCCTACAATTATATGGCTAGAAACACTAACCTGCTGGCTGAAGCTGTCCACTGATCTAACCTCCTAACTGCTCTCTGTAGGCATAGAATTCCCTGTGTGGTTTCATATGGAAAAGTGAAAATGGGTTGCTGAGCTTGTTTTAAGGCATTCATTGCACATGCTTATATTTTTGGTGAGTGGTGAACTGAATGGACCAGTTTGCAACTTCTGAATGGGAACATGAGCGATGTTCACTCTCGTAGGACTGAACAACCATAAAAGCACCATAAGATTAAAGATTTAGGCTGTAGTCAAAAAAATGAAAATAATCCCTATCCTAACCACTGTTCCTTGACCCTGATGGAAAATATCACAAGGTCAAGGAAAGATGTGAAGTAAATGGTTGTATTTATATAGCGCTTTTCTAGTCTTGAAGACCACTCAAAGCGCTTTACACTACAGTTTGCCATTCACCCATTCACACACGCATTCATACATACAATGCATCTAGAGTAGCACTTTTTTTTTGTTTGTTCTATAAGGGGCAATTTGGGGTTCAGCATCTTGCCCAAGGACACTTTGGCATGCAGATGGGAAGACTGGGAATTTAACTTCTGACCTTCTGGTTGGAGGATGACCGTTCTACCCCTCAGCCACAGCCACCCCAGAAGTAGAAGCTGTAAGGAGTTAGGAAAAGAGAACTGTGGCATAGAAGAATCTCTCCACTTAAACTCTTAACCCCAGTTTCAGTAAAGTTTCCTGTCCAAAACAGAATGACGGAGAGAATATTCTACTATTAGTCACTCACAGAAAGAAGCAACAAAATAGATATATAGTTTTGATGAGGATATTGTGTTCAATATGAGTGCTGTGCATTGTTGTGCACAGATGAAATCAGGAGCTCAGACGATCATATGAGGATTCACATCAGTTCTGGGTTTCCATATTAGTGTGGGTCTGCCCTAGGTACTATGAGGTTGCGTCGCTTTAAATTTTGAGGCCGCCACAAAGAATTGTCGAATTTCATAAAGATGAGTGACAGGACCAGATGTGACTTCTCTCTGATCCTACTATGTAGTCACACAGAGGTGTGTTCCTTCGGTTTGAAGTCAGTTTATTCCATTTTCAACAGTAAATGATCACTTCTAATGAAAACACATAGGGCAGTTAACACACAAATTACATTTAATTCAAGTGTATTGTGAATAGAGAATCCAATCACTATATTCATTATGTCATGCACTTATTGAATGAGCCCATAGCTGGAGGGAGCTGATCAGCTAAAGTAGCAGCATATGTGGCACTGTGGGTGTTTAGGGGCACGTTGGGGAAGGGGGAGGGTGTTGAAGCCCAGGGGTAGATGGGATATGTCCCTTAGGGAGCACACAGTCCCTGTGACAGATCAGGCTTGCCAATTTAGTTCCAGTAGGACTGAAGATACCGATCAGAAGAATTAGGTCAAATGTTGAATAATCAGTCTGGATTATTGCCGTGGTCATTAATAGTCATGTATGTATGTTAATAAGCTTTGCCACCTCCTACCTCTGCTCTTATAAACATTTCTGTATATGTGTGTGCATGTGATGGACACAGCTGTTGAAATGTTCACACACCACTACTCAAAAACACACTCATTCACACATGCTATTTACTTTGTAACCAATCTTGTATTAACACATAGATGCAAAGGCCACATTTGTATTACTTTCATGTGTTTCCAGGGAACTTACTTCATCACCAAAGCTACCCATCATAATAATTGTGCCTAAGCATTTTGGCATTTGTTGTCACTGACCTTTATTGCCTTCTTCTTCTATAGGCTCTTTCTCTTGTCATTTTTCTTCTCCTCGCAGTGTCACTAACAATAACCAATCCTCCTCACCCACTCCTCTCCGTTTGCCAGGGGAGAAACTCCCTGCTAACAGATGCTTTAATCCCATACAGATCTCCATCACAAAGGAGCCTAATGTCAATTTAATCCCACACACTTGTCAGCAGGCAGTATCTTTCCCAAACTGGATTTGGTGTCTGTGGCGTTATATGTATTTGTGCTTGGGTTGGAGCAGTCTGGTTAATGTTTCTGTCTACAACCCTGAGTAATGATCAAGATCCAGAAAAACAAGACTGTATTAAAATATGTAGCATTTTTAATTGATTCAGTCAGTGGTGTAGTAAACAATTGCAATTACAAAAACAATTACTTGTAAAATATCATTGACAGATTCTGCTCAGATTTGTGTAGCATTTATAGGGCAATTCTGCTTTATTACATATTGCATCATATTTTATATGTTTAGCTATGGTTTTTGTTCATTAGGGAAATATTGTAAAAGTAATTGCTGATCTTGCAGAATGTAGTGATATTGGCATACACCGAATCGGAAGGAACATAACATCAACACAACTTTGACATAAGCTGCATGGACAGAACTCTCAAAATCCTCCGGACATTCTCCAGACTGTATGTGTGAATGCAAATGTCTGACTAAGAGCCTCTGTTCTGGATGTTTGTGTTTTGTAACCTCTCCTCATTTCTCGTCTGCAGGCCGTAAAGTAGCCGAGTCCACACCGACCTTCCTCTCACCGTCAGGCAGTGAGAGCTCTAAAATGGTGCTACGAGACGAGCAACTGCTACTGGAGTGTATCGCTGCTGGACTGTGAGCTTTCTCTCTCACTCTCCCTCACTGTCTCTCTTTCTCACTCTCTCTCTCTATTCTCTCTGCCTCTCTCTTTCCCTCTCTCTCTGCAAAAATAAGATGAAAAAGATTTCGGTAGTATGGTCTTGTTTTATAAAACATAGTGTCTCTGTCTTCAATTAAAAAACAAACAGCGACAACAAATGTGAATTCACACACTATGAACAGTAGGTGATTAAATAAAACTGTAACTGTAACTGACACTGTTTCTTAACTAGGTTCTAGATATTTATTCAACATTTAACCAATTTGTTATTGGTCCAAACACCTGTAACACAGCACTGAAGAATGATATGGAAGGATGATAGGATACTGAATATGCCCATTTGGAATGCGATGACTTGAATGACAAAGCTGCGTGTGTTTCACTCTTCCCCTATAGGCCAACTCCTACCATCAAGTGGTTCAAAAAGGGCGGGGACCTGCCGGGACATAAAGTGAAGTTCGAGAATTTCAACAAGACCCTGAAGATTATCAGTGTGTCAGAGGAGGATGCTGGGGAGTATGTGTGCATGGCCAACAGTCATTTAGGCAGCATACGCCACAGCATCTCTGTCCAGGTTAAAGGTGAAGAGGTCATGATTATGTGTTTTTACACAACTACTGTGTTTTAACTTATGAGTGGGTCCATCTAACGAACTTGATTCCCTGTGTTCCACAGCGGCCCCTTACTGGCTGGACAAACCTACCGACCTGGTGCTAGCCCCGGATGAGAATGGCCGCCTGGTGTGTAGGGCTAACGGGAACCCTAAACCTACTATTCAGTGGCTGATCAATGGGCAACCTATAGACAGTAGGTGTAGCTGTTTCAGCTATTCTTTCTTTCTTTCTTTCATTCATTCAGGTTTCTGATATTGCTCATAAACCTGTCTATAGCAGGGGCCTGATGTCACTCAATAGATCACTGTTGTTTATATATATTGATTTGGGATTTTTCAGAAACAGTGTCCTAAAGCTCTCTCATTTCTCCTCTTTTATAATAACTTTTTACACAGGCTCCCCCCTTAACCCAAGCAGACAGGTGCTGGGTGACACCATCATCTTCCGCTCAGTGCAAATGGGAAGCAGTGCTGTCTATCAGTGCAACGCCTCCAACCAGCATGGGTATCTGTTGGCCAATGCCTTTGTCAGTATTCTCGGTGAGACATGGAGGGGGGGCTGATTTCAAAATATCAATAACAGACTTTATACATTTGTATGCAGTGCCTTAGCATTACTCTTCAACAATTACAAAATGTCTGAAAATAAGAATATGAGGGTATGGCTACTGATTATGTTCAAATAATCAAATGAAATGTACTTCTTTCATGTCAAAATGATCCAAGTTTTATCCACTGCCTCCCTGCAGACATGCCTCCTAGGATGCTGGGCCCTAAAAATCAACTGATTAAAGTCATTGAGAACAACCGCACCTTTTTGGATTGTCCATTCTTTGGTTCCCCTCTGCCTGAGTTACGCTGGTGAGAATTGATAGCTTATTGCAAAGACGTACTTGCTTTGGAATCATTCTACACAGATGCTTCCAGGTGAAAACACTAATGCCTAATTATTTTTTTCTATACCCATGTGTTTGTGTTTTAACCATGTGTAGGTTTAAGAATGGACAGGGCAGTGGGCTGGATGGCGGTCAGTACCGTGTTTACATCAACGGCACCCTGGAGATCAAAAGGGCTCGAGCAGAGGATGAGGGCACATACACATGTGTTGCCAACAGCATCCTGGGCAAAGCCGAGAACCAGGTCCGCCTGGAGGTCAAAGGTCAGACATTGCGATACTGCTGCACTCTGAGCAAACCTGAGAACTAAAGTCATCATCATCATTTCAATTACACAGTAACATATTGGTATGAAGTTATCCTGTAAACAACTAACATGACTTGTATCTTATGAAGGAGATATGTGCAGTAGCTATTAGCTCCTGCAGGTTTTATGACCTTTTATGACTAAACATACCACACTTTCTGTGTGTGAAAGACAAAATGAATTCCTTTCCTTCTGCCAAATAGCTTGCACTTTTGGATGATATGCAAATCGCAGGTGCCTTTTTATTAAAATGCCTTGCAAACAAACATCTGTGAATGTGCTGCAAAAATATCCATTGTAGCATTTGAGGTAGCACGGCATTGAATAAAATAAAAAAACAAGCCAACTAATCTACCAAGCCTGCCTTTCAGTGTTTCAGTGAAGTAGCAAGAATCCTAATCTGGATTATCTTCACCAGCAACATTTTTTCCAAGTGTGACTTCTTATACTGTACAGAGGTTGTGGCGAGGAGTTCAGGATGGATGTTTGAACATACACAACACAAGACGTTTTATAAAGATGTCATTTTTAGGAGAACGTGCTGAATTGTAAAAAAAATATATATATTTTCCTTACATTATGAGAAGAAATCCATACTTAGATTGACATGGCCCTACAGTCACTGTAAAGTGTATTGGTGTGAGTCTGCCTTTTTTGAAAGGTCTGTGTTTACCTCCAGCATTATAATGTCATGTGTGTGTCATATCTGACACAATGTCATCTTCCACTGGTATTCCTGCATCCATCTAAACATGAGTTCATATAGTCTCTCTCTGTGTGTATGTGCGTGTGTGTTTATGTGTGTGTGTGTGTGTGTGTGTGTGTTCGTTTTCACTAACTCATCCAACTCAGAGCAAACTCGTATAGTCAAATTCCCTGAGCATCAGTCAGCCATCAGGGGCTCCACAGCTCGTTTCAACTGTAAAGTGAAGTCGGATCCCAGCCTGCCTGTCACTGTGACCTGGACCAAGGATGACAAGTTTCTCTATCTAGGATGGAGGTAATGGCACTTAAAGGTGGCCTTAACACCCCTCATATATTATGAATTCCTCTCGTGCACCTGTAAGAATTAAACACCACATATATAGAGGTTGTTAATGAAAGGGATAGTTCACTGAAAAATTTTGATTCACTCATTATCTACTCACCACTATGCCGATGGATGTGTGGTTGAAGTGTATGTCCACAAAACACTTTCAGTGTAAAACTTTGTTGCAGCCAAACCCAATTCAATTGAAGTAACCGGCGACCTTTAATTCAGATGTAATAAAACAACAGAAAAAACATAACATGCCTCCATACTGCTTGTGTGGTGTCATCCAAGTTTTAGCAAGCTCCAACATTCATATTGACTCAACACAAGGTCATTTACACCATGTTTTTAGTCTAAATGTCCACAGGGAGTGACTAAGCTAGCAGGGTCCGTGAATGCACCTCATAGGAAGATATCTGAGGACATTTAGGCTTAAAACACGGTGTAAATGACGCTGTTTCAAGTCGAATATGACTTGCTGACACTTGGATGACACTACACGAGCAGTATGGAGGCATTTTATGTTTTTTCTGTTGTTTTATTACGTCTGAAGTCTTGGTCACCAGTTACTTCAGTTGTATTGGATTCTGCTGCAACAATGTATACCCCTGAAACTCCAAAAGTGTTTTGTGGACACAAACACTTCACCCACCCCTCCATCGGCATATGGGTGAGTAGATGATGAGTTAATTTTCATTTTTTGGTGAACTATCCCTTTAAACACTTTCATCATTGAAACTACAAGTAGGTGTACAGATTTTTGTGTTATACTCCAGCAGGGAATAATCTCAAAATAATTTAAGTTTGTCTACTATCCTTCCTACTGAGAGATAGACTTTGCATTTCTGTTGTTTTAAATACAGTTGTATTTCATTATTTGTCTTAACTGAGTAATCCATTTAAATTCATATTGCTTGTAATATAGATATTAGGTCAATCCCCCTCAGATATGTTTAACTAACCTAAACTGTCAAGTGACACATAAGTAGTTCCACCCAGCACCTAGATAATACATACACAAAGCAAACAAAATCTTTTCGTTATTGTTCAGCTATGGTAAACAAACACTGTGTAGTTTTACTTTTAATACAGTCAAGAGTTTATATTATGCTCAGATTGAATAATTTATATGCTATCTCTGTTTCTCCCAGGCTGAGGAAGGACGATGAGTCACTGACTATCCCCAATGTGAATGAGGGTGATGAGGGAACATACACCTGCACTGTTAAATCTGAGATTGACGAGGACTCTGCATCTGCCCGCCTGACTGTGTTAGGTACATCACATACAGAGCAATCCTGGAACAGTGGGCTTCAGTTAAAGAAACAGCACTGAAGAATATCACCCCATAAAAGTATTTAAAAAAAACAATTGTTGTAGTTTAATTAAATTTGAATAAAATAGAAGTCAATAATAGACCAGATCTGGACCCAGATGGTGTAAAATCCAGACCCGGACCTATAACAGAAAAATCCTCTAGGATTGTCAAATTTTGATAATGGAGCATTTCTATCTTAACAAGCCTAGCCTGTTTAGTGGCCTAGTAACAGACCAGTTGAATGCATTGTAAATCATCTCACATGACACAACTCAGCTCAATTAAATATGAGCATAGTGATGAGCATTCCTTGCAAAGTCAGTGGACAGGCCTGGACAGACGAGAGAAGGGAGAATAGACAATGAAAAAAGTAAATTCATATGGCCTGCAGAGAAGACAAAAGAGTTTTTAATCAAGATTGAACAGACTTTGTTATCCGTTGGTCAGTTCAATAACATTTGTTCATATGTTCTGAACACTACACCATTCCAGCCTTTATTTTTCATACTTATTTATAATCCCTCCAGTTGAAAAAAAGTTAAAATATTTTTGGATTATAGTTTCTTTAAAATGAGACAATGATGTTGATACGTCTTATATTTTATTATATATTGCAGTGAATCATAATCACAATATTCTTGGAATTCTCTCTATTTGGACCTATTGCAAATAGTGTACTGATTCCCTGCCTTACTTTTGCGTATGCTATTATACTCAAACTCACCTAATAATCTACTGTATGTATTCACACATGATTGCTGGATTTATGGCTAGCCAAGACATTACGCATCATGTGGGTACATTAAGACTGAATGTGCAAAAAACAACTTGCATATAAAATTAACATATAAATTGTCCCAGTAATAGTAATAATTGTAATGAAAGAACTGGAAAAAGAAAAGTACAAAGGCTGACAAAGTTAATATACTGAAGACAAGGACCAGCTTTTCAAAAATCATTTTCAGGGTAAAAGTCTTTTCATGTGTGACACACATTTAGACTACATAAACAGTTTTTATTCAATTCTTTATATTAAAATTGTTATAACATCTCTTTTTCACACTGTGCTGTTTTTCAACTCTAACCCTTTGAATGCAAATTGTGCATGCTTAGATTAGAAAACATACTTACCTAGCTAAGCTTGAACTCAACGTACTGTTGAGGTACTGTAGTGCTATATACAAAACTGCCATAGTAAAGCTTTGTAAATTCTGTGTGACCAGTGTTTTGACATGTGACACTTTTGCAGTGGTTAACAGTCACAGAAATAAGATGAAAACAAAAGGAATGCAAATTCAGCAAATATTTCAATCAAACTGGTTAATGAAGAGAGCTTACAAACGTGACTCAGACCTTGATGCCAAAGTCTCATCTGTAAAACATTTGCTTGCCAAGTGATTCTGAATTAACATTAGTAAATTGTGTTCTAAATAACATGTTAACAGTTAACTTTCTTGCTGTCGGTTGGTTGGTAGACTAACATGCAAACCTTTATACCCACTGCCTGGTCCTTGACCCCATCCCACAGAGGAAGCCTCCCTCAACCCCTCAGTCTCTAGTGCCTTGCCTCCAGGTAACACATGGCTCAGGTGGAAGTCTTTGTTTGTCTTTTCTTTGCTGGTTTTACTTTTAGTTTTTGTTTTTAGGGTCTGACCTTTCTCTGTCCTTGCCTTAACTTGTGCCTCTGTTACATTCTAATGATTACATTAAACATTTTTAATAGCCGTTTTAATGGATATTATTTCCTTATGTGCCAAATATTTTTTTCCCAATTTGTGTTTGAGGAGTGGAATTATTTTTGATGCAGAATGTATTTTTAATGCATGCACCACAATCCATCCCCATCAAATAATGTACTCTCATATTAAGTCTGAACATTTCTGTTGTTTGTTGATGCAATTAGTAGTGTAGACTTTCTCAATTTTCTTCATTTCACTGTTGACAATTGGGCATTTGTTATATAATAATATATAATATTCTAATAATAAGTGTATTTTTACTCAAGATTCAATGATTGGCCATGGAAATAGGAGAACCTGTACAGTATGAGTGATGTGTTTTGCAGTATTGCTGAATGTACTATGTGTTAGTCATGTCTGAGATCTGATCATTCCCCATTTCTCTGCAGACCGCCCAGACCCTCCTATGGATCTAGATCTATCTGACCCAGCAGCCCGCAGTGTTCGCCTCACCTGGATCCCCGGAAATGATCACAGGAGCACCATCACAGGTTTTTGTACACACACTCCTCATACTCTGTACTTGTACTTTCTGGTGTCTCCTGAACATCATTTGAAGGGTTAAATAGCTTTTAATGGTCTCTTTTTACAAGTATATTCTAAGATAAATAACAAATTGGACAGACCACAATTATAATCCATCTGACAAATGAGTCTTATTACTAATAAAATATTATATATAATATGTAAAATACCTCTCATTCATTCATTCGGTATGGCCTTTGAACAAATTTCAGAGTAGAGGGGATGAAATTACATGATACAGGAATACATGAAGCCATAACTGCAGGTGTTCCCCCACTGGTGCAGGAGGAGACTTTGAGATTCCAGACAACCTTGTGAACCCCATCAAGAACCTGATAGCCCCAAATGTCAAGTGTTTAAACAGTGAGTGTTCTGCCTTTTCTCACGCCACTTGTGTGTCTCTGCAGAGTTCTTGGTCGAGTTTGAGGAGGACCGCTGGGAGCCAGGCAGGTGGCAGAACCTGTCCACTTACCCTGGGGACCTCAACTCTGTCATCCTGCAGCTCGCCCCCTTTGTCAACTACCAGTTCAGGGTCATCGCCATCAATTCAGTGGGCCAGAGTCAACCCAGCAGTCCGTCACCAAGATACAAGACCAGTGGAGCGGGTAAGACACACAGCATACTCATCTTAAAACATATATATGTCTTTACAGACATTTTTGTTGGTGAAATGTAGCTTACCTGCCTCCTAATCAAGTACAGTGATGGTCTTCAAGGGCTTTGATTTCTAAAACTGTAATAATAAATAAAATGCCAGCTTCTTTTCCGAGACAGAATACATGACAGATCCTTGGAAACACAAGCCATAAGGCCTAACGTCATAAATCTGATATCTCTGGGGAACTGAGTGAATTTTGTTATGTTAAAACAAGCTCCAGATGTAATTCCAAGAGGTCTTAGAGGATGGGGCTCCAAGAAGGACAACATGGAGATCACTTGGGAGGTAAGACTTTTACATTGCAAGAAATTACATCTTGTAAGTGTATTCAACACACTGCCTGCTGACTGTAAAATAGAAAAGAGTACACTCTTTATTGTGATCATGGAAATGTGAGAATGAAATCAAGGAATGTGACAAAGTTGACACAATATACTGAGGACATGCACTTTTATATATATATATACATGTCTCACACTCAGGAATATTGATTCTGCATATCATAATAATATATGTTAACATACACACAACATAGTAGGAAGCTGCTGGAGACCAGCTGGAGACAAGAATCAATAAAACACATGAAACGTGGTATGTTTTTTAAATTTCTTTACCTCTTGTTGTTAAGGAACATAGTCAGTCCTACGTTTAAAGTAAAGCTGAAGTGGTTTATTCACTCAATCTGTCCAGCAGAAGTCTTTCTGGGACTCTGACAGTATGCTGCCTTAAGCTATGGGGCTGTAATTTTACAGGCTGCCTACTTCTTACCTTATTTTTATTTATACTTGTCCCTAATGACTGACACTTAGCACGGTGGTACAGTATTTAATATTGTTGCCTCATGGCAACATGGTTCCTGGTTCGAAGCCTGGTTTGGCCATGTGGAGTATTTATGTATGTTTTCTCCCGGCACTCTGGGTTCCTCCTACAGTTCAAAGACATGCAGATTAGGGGTTGGTAGCTCTCAATTGACATAAGGAGTGAATGTGATTGTCTCTGTTGTTGGCCCTCTGATACACTGGAGATCTGTCCAGGGTGCAGCCTACTTCTGACACAATGTCAGCTATGATTGGCTCTAGCTCCTCCCATGACCCTCAAAAGGATAGGCGGTATACTTTTGTAGATAACAAGTGGATGAACTGGCACCCACACAACAGACAACACAAAGCCATCCTTATACTGAAATATATAATAAGTTCAGTTGAAATATGATCCAAACTCCTCTACCTAGAGAAAAATTCTTTAAGGATTTATCTGTATGATGATGATAGGCTAAGATCTCTTCCTTTGTGAAGGCTTTTAACATTTATTGACATTTATTTTATATGAAGCATATGCTGCATACAATACAATGGACCAGCCAGGTTCAGAGTGGTTGTCCTCTAACCAGAAGGTTGGCGGTTCAATCCCAGTCTTCCCCATTCCTCATGCTGAAGTGTCCTTGTCAAGCTACTTAACCAAATTGTAGAATAGTGCTTGTAGAGCACTTTGAGTGGCTATAAAAAGAGTTTTTTAGAACAATTAACTTATCTGCATGTCTTTAGACTGTGGGAGGAAGCCGGAGTACCTGGACAAAACCCATGCAAACAAAATCGAAACTTCATATTCATATGTTTATTTATTACCACATGAAATGTAATTAAAAATGCCTGTAAATAAATGTGTTATAAATGCCAATATATGTGCTTGACCAATCACAATCACTATCCCAGCAGTCTAGCTTTTTAATAGCATCAATAATGTACATATATAAATTAAACAAAACTTCACAAACATGAAACTAACTTTGGACATTTTTTAATTGACTTTGATTTCTTAGTTTGGTCTGTTTCCCATCCACTAACATAGAGGGGGCTGAGATTATGACCTATACTGGGACCAACCACAAGGGGGCAATCAAGATGTTTTGGTTTTACTTTTAGAACCTGTCATGTCGTCTATCTCTTTATACAGTTTATGGCCCAAAAGAAAATCCATTTGTAAAACAATATGAAAAACAATCTCAACAAATTCTATAAACTGTATACAACTAAAGAGATTCAAACTTTTATTGTTGCCATAAAAGGCAATCTCTCTGTGTAAGACTATTTTTATAATTTTATTCTATAATTATATTATTAAATACCTTTTATTTGTAGCAGTATCACATCAGCATATACTCTTCAATCGGTGTGAAGTCACAGTTATTTTTTTTTCCTTCAGCCACTGCTTGATCTGGAGAGAAATGGCCAAAACCTACACTACAACGTGTGGTGGAGACGGAAGGATGTGGGGGAAGAGTGGAGTAATATGACCACAGAGGGGTCCAAACATATCATCCACAACACAGAAACCTATGTGCCTTATGAGATCAAAGTCCAGGCCAGAAATGAGTTTGGACCAGGACCTGAATCTAATATGGTCATTGGATACTCTGGAGAGGACAGTAAGTAGATATACACAAAATATAATATTTTAGAAAGACAGACAATGCCGTCATTTATTTATGGGAAATAGCTTTGTATGATTTAAGCCTTTATTTGTGCAGCAGAAAAACCTAAGCACAAACAGAATCAAACCTTCAAGACTTTTTCTACATTCTGTGAAACACTATTTTTTGTGTGTTCAGAGCCCACAGACGCGCCCACTGATTTGAGGGTATCAAAGGTCGACAGCACCAAAGCAAACATCCACTGGAAGTCTGTGGACCCAAACTCTGTCCAGGGAGAGTTCAAAGAGTACAGGGTGAGAAGAGCTGCATTTTTTGTAATAAAACCCACTGCAGAGTTGAAAATTTTGCATAGTATTTTCTACTCTTGTTCCCTTCTTACTTCTAACAGTTTCTTTTGTTTTAATCTCCTCACCCCTTATGACCTTTTAACCCCTTTTTTCTTCTTCTCCCTCCCAGCTGTATTACTGCCGTGAGTCCAGTCTTGTCCCAGGTTTGATGGTCAGTAAGGAGAATAAGACCAAAGGATTCTACAGCACCACGCCCCAGCCATCTAGCATCCTCAGTGACCTGGTGCCCTATTCTAAATATAAGATGTTTATAGTTGTGGCCAACAGCCGCTTTGAGGGCCCTCCCAGCAACAGTGTGGAGTTCTCCACCAAAGAAGGAGGTAAGGATGGCAGCTGCTCAATCAATGTATTACATCACAAATCACAGATCCATAGGTTTCTTAAGGGACAATTTGAATCCAGTATGTAGATAACCTACCTGCTGCCATATTTATGACTTTGTTACTTCAGCCAGAACTTCCTGTTCCATTCATAAAACCTGGAGTGGCATTACATAAACCATTAGAAGTCAGTATGGCAGTGCCAATTACATAAACACTTGGTATGTCTTTAGTACACTAATGTAATAGCAGCAGGACCCTCTACAGGACTTTCAATTTTGAGATATATTTTGCACAATAAACGGTTGTCTATTTAGCCATAGATTATGTGACTATTAATGCCAGTCAAAGTGCCAGTAATAGTCAGTTGTTTCTTTTCTTATTTTTATGTGTATGCATATACAGTTCCTGATGCTCCAAGGTTCTTCAGGATCAACCGAAGGAGTTTTGACACTATCTACTTGGAGTGGGACAAACCTCTGGAGCCAAATGGCATTCTAACAGGATACCAACTCAAATATCAAACAGGTTAGCTACTCCAAGGTTCATACAAGTACTGATGTTGGCAAGGAATTGATGAAAACTATAAATATTAGTTTTTGTTAGTTTTGGGAATTCATTATTTTCATAATATATGTCTGGAGATTAGACCACACAGATCTTCACTAAACCAGTTTTACTATTTCATCTTGAGTGCTAATTTGGAAGTCACAATGAAGCTGAAGCTTCTTACAATATTATTATTACATTATACACAACTGCAGTATGTTTTAATGAGGTATGAAGGATCCAAAAGATCTCACAGAAAGTTTGGGCAACAACTGGAGGCTTACTTACAGTGTGTGTGTGTGTGTGTGTGTGTGTGTGTGTGTGTGTGTGTGTGTGTTTAGTCAATGGTTCCAGGGTGGGTCGACAACAGCTGGAGACCTTTCTTCCAAATATGACAGACTTCACCCTTCGTCTGCCAGATCGATCTACCCGCTATAAGTTCTTACTGTCAGCGCTCACACAGGTGGGAGCAGGAGAGGTCTACGCTGAGGAGTCCCCACACTTCACCAATGAGGGTGAGTCCATTGAATGTTTCCATTTGCAATATCCCTATAAGCTGCAGAGGTTTAAGTTATTCGTTTATGAGGCATACCTAACTAAAACGTGAGGTCTCATGCAGTAGTTCTGCATTAAAAGAAATGAATAATGTTCAGGCTTCATTAAAATTGTTACAACTGCATGCTAATTTTGGAGGATGTTAGTGGTGCTGTTTATATTAATGAGGCTCGTTAGAAGTATAACAGAATGCAAGATAGTTTACAGCAGCAATAACTAGATCCTCCACATTATTCAAAAACCTGAATCTCTAATACAGTCTCACCAAAAACCTATATATATATGTATATTCCAATTTTTTTTATATATATTACATCATATTTCAATACATTTATCAGGTAAATGTTAATTTTTTCACATCACGTTACTACGTTTCATTTGTTTTACATTTTGATTTTTAAATGAATTTAGTTTATTTTGACAAACAATGCTTTTTTAACCAAATTATATATTTGTGAGGCATTTTTAAAGCCACTCTCAACCATTGGATTTTGGGCAGAATGTTACAAATGGTGTAGAGAAGTCAGAGCACACAGAGATAAATGATATTCCATTACACTAATCAAGTTACAGACTTGAAATTTGCTTTAAATATTTAACCTAAGTTTAATATAGTTTATGATGAGTTTTCATTACTCACAGTGTTTCTAAGGAACAGGACACCGATCTTCAGCTTCTCATGTCTTTGTAACAGACAGATTCTAAGTAATCCTTAAGTAAACATAGGTCTCTTTGTGTATGATATCAGATGAAGAAAGAGGAGAAAGAGCTGGTGTTTCACAGCTCTCTCTCTCTCACACACACACACACGCTGATTCAAATCAACCAGAGACCCTCTGGTGTCTCAAGTGGTATCTGCCCACCCAGATAGTTTAGATTTTATTTATCCAGGTTTAGAGATATCAACCCCTGAGATATTCCAATTCACCTCTACTCATCTCCATTACATCTGAAATAAATAGGATGTGATTGTCCTTTGGACTTGATGTAAAAGAAAAGGTTTTTAAATGGCATAGGGTAGTACAGATCAAAAGATTCATCGCAAACTAAAAAAACTGTTAGATAAAGGTAAGCAAGAGAATCTGTTGAATTGACCTTCCAATTCTTGTTGACCTTTCCGTCCTCTCTGACACCTCTCCCTTCTCTCATGTCTCTCTTGTTCTTGTCGTTGGCAGAACATTTTACTGATACTACAGGTCTAGGTAAAGAGGACTGAGAAGCACAGCTTCTGCTTGTGCCCCCCCACCCTCAACCTCTGTCTTTCTATCTATCTAAACACTCAGCAGCAGTGCAGTCCACCTTCACGCCCCCATTGTGTAGTTCAGATCTAGCACCCCCTGCAGCTCACACCAGTAGACAACAGACGGAGCTGCTACATTTGTGTCAATCCCATCGGGTTTAAATATTTCACCCTCCAGCTCTTAGTCAAATTAACCTTAACACAGACATCATGTTAATATATACAGTCTGATCAATAAGACCTTTTTATGTAAACATACTGGAGCACATTTAGAAGTTGGGCTTATTAAATCTGCAGTGTCAATCTGGTGACAATTTAAGCTTGAATGTACCATCCCTGTGATTACTATATTGAGTGACAGAGCAAGTGTTAATACCACAACCACCATGATGACGTGCAAGTTAATAATTATCTCAAAGAAAACAATCACAGCAATCAGCAGCATAACCTAGGGATGGTTCAGGGGTCACATGCTCCCCAGCAATGACTTTAAGCTTTATCAAAGCGGAAAGTTTCACTTAAAAGTAGAGACGATGTCAGCCTGTTAATTTTGTGATTTTTTAGTGGATTACTTCCCATTTAGATTGTGGCAAGCGACTCTTAAAGACCCGAAATCATCATATTTATGATAATTATATTAAATGGAAAACAGGTCAAAGCTCTCACTTAGAACAGACCAGGCGGTGTTTTTACTCTTGGACTGAACTACTGTTGTTCTTTATTTTCTCATCTGTCCATCTGCTTCTCCTCATCTCTGCTCTTTGTGTTAAACTTCTGTTTGTCTGCTAATGTGTGCTGTCAGAGACTGAATAAGCCCACTGACCATGCTCAGGTCATCATTGGTTTTAAATGCTGTAGGTTACTCTGTAAAACCCTTTCTATTGAAGGGACATACATTGATCGGCCACAACGTTAAAACTGGTGTTAAGCTCAGTTACAGTATGCAACAGTATCACACACTGGATTTATTGCACACTTCATAGTCAGGACACTCACCCAGAGAGATTCTGCACAATCTTCCTTGAAGCCCTTTGCTCTTGCCTTAACTTTTAACCATTGATTTCTGAGCCAGTTCCTGATGGTGCACTTTTACGATTCAATCTCACAGCATCACTGCTCTTGTCTGCTATGAGATGCAAGTTAGTCTTGTGTTGCAACATAAATGGATATGTTTAAATTATTTTTTTCACTCACTGTCATTGGATACAAGGTCATGATAATGCTGCTGTTTGGGGCGTGTGTGTTTGCGTGTGTGCATGGGTGTGGGATGGAAAGGAAATTCACTTCCTTACATTAAAATGATGTGACTTGGTGAGTGCGATGCGGCGGAAAGACAAACAAAATTCCATCGGCAGTTGGCTTGTTTGCTCACCCAATAGTGTGATTGTCTTGCTTCAGATCTTTTTCAACTTTCATATCACTCTGACATATTTATCCATCGCTTGTTCACTGAGTCAGTTATACACACAGGGAATTACAGGTAAGGTGTCATGAAACCTTGGGCGGCTGATGTTTCCATCATCATGGAACACTTTATTTATCCCTCGCACGGTGATTTAAGGGCATGCTTGGCCTCCAGCATGATGATACAAGCATGTTGTATGAGGGAAATGTTTGGCATGCTGCGTCAGTAGAGGGATTCTTCACTGGCTGAAGATGACCTCAGCTTCAAGGTACAGTATAAGTGAGCAACTTTTGAAGTGGAAATCATTGGAAAATGATGTGCTGTTTACGAGCCTGAGGTTATCTTGTGTCTCTTAAGTCAGTTAGTACAATTAACTTAGTACTGCACTTAACTTAACTGCATTTGTGCCCTTTAAGTCTGAGCTGCAGTAACTTCAAATGGCTTCATCATCACAGAGGTAACACCAGATGATGTCACCGGGGGACATTCTTTCATAATTTAACTCAAGTCAGTTTTCTGTGGCTCATCAAAAACCTATTGTTACATGATGAGTAGTACAGAATGGTACTTTTCTGAGTTCCACTTAAATGCAGCAACAACAAAATAAAAAACTCTAGTCTGGATGCTGAAGGCTCTACCTCCTGCTCTACCCTTACAGGCTCTAGGAACCACAAGTGAGCCTGTATTTAGAGAGCATATAAGCTCTACAATATATTTGTATATAATGCTTTAATCATTTGCATCCTCCTCAAAGAGTCATTGAGACAGATGTGTAATATCAGCATCTGTCCTCTTGGTGGCAGTGACCTCTAAGTGTGTGCAGCACAGTGACGATGCAAAATTTGGGGTCCCAATAGAGATGAAGTGAAAGACACTCAAGTGAAAACTGAAATCATTTCTTGAATGATGATGATTCCAGTGTGTGTGATGCGAGTTGTGTGCCATGTAATGGACAGGCTAATAAGTGCAGCTTGTGGGGAAATAGTGGACCATTTTTTCATCTCTAGGCTTCATTGAACTTCTCCTATATGTGTGTGTGTGTGTGTGTGTGTGTGTGTGTGTGTCATTGTGTCAGTGTGTCTGCCTGTTTGATATTCCTATGGCTTGTTTAACCCTCTGCTCTCTCCCACCTCCTCCCTTGTAGTCAACCTTACAGATGCCTCTGTGGCTTCAACTTTCACTCCCACTCCTCCTCCTCTCGCTTCTCTTCCTCCTACTACCATCGCTCCTACAACCATCGCTCCTACAACCATCGCTCCTACAACCATTAGCTCCTCAACTACTACCACTCCTAAAGCTACAACTTCTCCTTCTACCACTACTTCTACTACAACAACTCCTACTACCGCCACCACTGCAACTGAGGCGACAACTACCACCACACCTCTTGTGCTAATCACCACCAGGCGTACCGATCAGAATGTGTTGGGTACATCCCGTTGCCCAATTATGGTTTTAACCGTCTATCTTGTGTTTAAGTTCATCTTGAATGGCAATTTAATTTATGAATATTATGGGACAATTGCGTTCTCCCACCTGACGAATCAGGAAACTACATCAGGGCTGCATTCCAATAAGCTGTGCTGTACCTACTGCACAAAAAGTGGGGAATTACTGCAGAATATTGGGATGTAGCCAGCAACTGTCCTCTGAGTCAGGAAGTGAGAATCCAAAATGTATTTTACATTAAATGGACATTGATAATTGTAACGTTCTTGGATAGTGTATTTTTTTACACTTTGTAATTAGGAGAGCTACATATTTCAAGTTCAGTTAATCTATATCTAGTTTTAAGTTTAACTAGCTTTGGAATTCACTCAAAACCAAAAGTAAATAATGCAATTACGTCATTCATGAATTGAAAAATCCTCTAGAACTTTACTGTGGGTGAATTTTCTGTCCATGAACATTTCTACTTGTGGTTTTGAGAGGACCATGTTCACCATGAATCCTGACCTAAACAACCATTCCCTTAGTGATAGTACCATGCATAGTTCTAAATGGAGCTCTGTGTGACACTGTTATAACTGTGCCCTCTTTACCCCTGCTTTGACCTTTAACCCTATACCCCCTTCACCCCTTGTGTAGTGGCCCCTGGGCGGCAGATCTGGGATCTGACGGTGGAGCCTAACAGTAACTACGCTAACGTCAGCTGGAGACACAACTTCCCGGCCGGCAGCAGCGAGTTTGTGCTAGAGTTCACACTGGACAGTAAGAAACCAGACCAAGCCCACCTTGAGCTATCAACACCTAGCGCTGAACTTATTAATGAGTAAACCAAAAACAAAGTATTTGAGATATCAGTGGAGCTACAAGAGTAGGAGCAAACAGAGGGCTTTTTCAGAGAGAAGGCAAAATGTCAAAAATTTAATTAAAACCACTAATTGATATTTTTTTATATGAGCAATTATTCAAATGACAAACAATTGATTTGATGAATTGCAGTTTCCATCTGCTATAGGTTTGGTAATTACAAATCATTACTGTTTGCAGAGTGAATTGATAATTATTTGCAAACATTTTGTCCCCAAGTGCAAAAAACAAAAAAGATTGAAATGCACTTAAGAGCTCATATTATATATTGTCACTTTATTGCTATTAACAAAATCCAAAGATTTGTTTAGTGTGTTACACAGGAGACTCTAGAAGATTATCTTTAACAGCACTGGTTGATTACTGCTCAGTCCATCTTTATTTATAAAATTCACATTAGATTTCCAGCATTTCTGATCATATTTGGTCCTCTTACCAGAATTTGATCATGGTTGACATGATCAGAGTTCCCTTTACAGAAAAGTAAAAGAATGATTCTGCTTCAGTAATTTATGCAAACAATTTTTCATACAAACTTTGATTACTCCTGAGTGTTAGGATCCTAGCCTCAACCCCCCCAACCCCCTGCTAAAGGGTTTTGCTGAAATGTGTCCTTGTTCCTGTCTTACTCACAGTGCAACAGAGCAAGATTCGAAAAAAACAGAATGCAAGAAAGGCAAGAGAATGACAAAAGAAATTGATCTGTTCTGTGTCAATTTTTTAAAATTAAATATGCTTTTACAGCTCTTCTATCAAAACAGAAGATATCTTTCTCACAAGATCAAAGCTTCAACTGTAGCAGCAGCAGCTGCTGTTCCCTTGGCCTGTTGTTTTTTATCAGCTTTTTACTTGAAGATGTGACAATGTTAGTTAAGGATTCATTTCTCAGTTTGAACTTAAAATGTGAAAAATACTGCAGTATGTGTATCTGTATATTTATTGTACTCTTTCTGTCTCTTTTGACGTAGAAAATGTGAATCATAATCATGTCTCTACATCCTGTGCAGTCCACCATCACAATAGTTACCTTTCAACACGCTGCCTGGCTTTGAATGGCTCTGGTTTGATCAGCACTGTCAGTGGGCTGGTGGGCTTGCTTTTGCTGAATTGTTGTACCACTCTCATGCTTTCATACTCAATTGCTCTTGCTTTGCATTTGATGTTACTTTTGAAGTCTGCTTATTTAACATCCTCCATTCCTGGTTGAGATTGAAAAAACGCTGCCTTTAGGGTCTCCCTTTCTACTGATTCAACACTCATTGAGCTTTCATTAAGGGCAGAAAGATGGAAGGATCTGTTATTCAGTGGCAGTGGCTTAAATTCTTAATGATGTCTGAATGTGAATAGAAAGTGAAAGGGTATGGGGGGACGAGAGGAGGGTGACGGGGCTGATCTAATGGTCTCCATCCCTCTCACCCATCCCTTGTTTTTCAAGGTCAAATCTAAAAGCTTTGCCATGACAGCTCTCTCTCTCTCTCTCTCTCTCTCTCTCTCTCTTTCTCTATCACACACACACACACTGATTCAAATCAGCCAGAGACCCTCTGGTGTCTCACATCTGATATTCCATCCTATTTAAATCAAATTTATTTCATGGTCACTCCAAGTCATCTTCATATGTTCAAGAAACAGCACAATAGTTATGTCACACTTGTTCCCATCCATCCTTTGCTCTGCCATTTTTAATAATATTTGTTAAAAGGGTTACATTGGGGCAGATCAAGGGGTGAGGCCAGGGGGGAGCTGGACCCAGTGTCGTGATATCCTGTCAGTAGTCTTTAAAATATAGTAACATACCAACAATAGTAACTCTGAAATTTTTTTTAAGAATTATTATTAATTTGTAAAAAAAAAAAAATAACACACCCAAGATGAAGGACAGGGGCTCAAGCCCCCTTTGATGTGTGCACGTGCCAGCCTGAAAGTTATTCTTCTCTCTTGAGCTGCTTTCAGACATGCACTGAAGTCCAAAAAGTACAGGAAGGGGCTGTGTCAAAGGGCTCTGGACATTCTCCTGAGTTTTTCGTGCCAGCTAACGTCACTATGTGTTAGTAGTTAGGTTAATTATGTTTCTAGCACATGATGGACACAAAACTGAGGTGGGAGGGGAATAAAAATATCTCAGAATGAAAAAGAGACAACGTACACTGACATAGTTGTCAATTTGGAAAGACCACAATAGAGAGCTTTTTTTGTAAATGTGTCTGAGTAGAGATTCTCCTGCTGGGTTGGTCATATGTGAAATGCAAAGTCCAGGGCCCCATTGTGGAGTTCATGTCTGAAACCAGCTTTGGAAAGAGACATTGTGGGGAGTGGTATTCAGTTGCTCTTGAATTTTACAACTTCACCATTAGATACCACTAAATCCTAAACACTAAACCTTTAAGGACATTGGAGTAGGGTGGCCTTGAGAGCTCAACACACTGGACACATACTGTATTATAGACAAAACACAAGCAAATTCTTCTTCACCAGCACACACACACACACACAATGTTATTTACACTTGAAATAACATTTTGTCCCTTTTTTGTGTCTCGTCCTGGAGAGACATTAGTCATCTGTCTTTGGTCGAGTTGTTTGCAGCACACGTTGTCAGACTGATGACGATGAATTTGCATGTGTTTTTTTAGTTGCAGTGCTTCTCTTCTTTCAACAATTGGCATTTTTTTCGGCGGGTTTGAGGACTGGTAGTTACTTGCATGGCATTGGAATGACTACTGTTGGATGACTTCACTGTTGTTAAATGGTTGGTAGCATGGTGCATGATGTCACCACCACTTGCTGCCTTCTTCTCTCACTGCCACCTCAGAGTCATGCTCATAGCTTGGCCATGCCATGACCGACATGTCTTTTTGCTGAAAAGATGTGGGTTGTTGTCACTTTGTGATTAATTGAGACGAACAATGCTTTGCCACTTTAGCCCCTGATGTTACACAAGGGAGTTCTGCTGTGGTCAAATGCAATTCTATCTGGTTCAAACATGATTGCAGACCTGCCTATGTGCTAGACAGTTTAGGAGTGTGAATGTTTGAACACCAAAGTGGTGGTTGTACCAGGAGGACCTGCACCTTTGCTCCATTTGATAGATGAGATTTCTGTAGAGAGTCATACACTAAATATAGTCTGTGAGCCATAAAAGAGGAGAATGATCCTAAATGGGAGCTGAATTGAGCTTCAAAGTTTTGTTTCTAATGCATTAGGTTTGATGATTAGACAGTTTCAATAGTAACATGTGTCTTCTTCTGTACTGTTCAGAGGTGAATAAATCTTTATGATGAGGTTGGGCACTGCATTGTTTTCAGTCTCAATTCACTTCACTAACCCTGCCATCACTCAGAGAAAAGAGTCTGCCTTACAAAACATTGTGATGCTGTGACCTTAACTAGAAAGCACAGGCATTATTGTGGGATGAAGGCCACACCCCCGGAGTGTGATCGGCCTCTTTCTTGTGTCTCCAAGGCGACAAGACGGTGAAAGTTGTACCAGTGAATCAACAGCCCCCAATTAGAGTGGCGGATCTGATCGCAGGTGCCGCGTACCGTCTGAGGGTTTACTCCCATGAACTCAACAGCATCAGCAGCAATTATTTCACCTTTAAGACCAAAGCAGGTGAGACGACACCAGGCTAGGTGGAACCAGAGTTCCAGCCAGGTGGGCTACTCTGGGTGCAAGTCTGTCAGTAGTAGAATGTCAATCAAGTAAAGGTTTGGTGAGTTATTACGGTTTTGATATTTTACAGCATGCATGTTCTTCCAAAAGCAGCCTGCGTTGTTTCTTTGTTTAATAGTTATTAGGCTAGTTACAAGATGCTTTCATGTAAAAATAGCTGTTCTTAGCTGCCACCTACTGCTGGATATGATACGTTAACAACAATCATCAGTTCTACTGGAGCTGAAGGTGACCCTATGGCCATCACCACAGCTGCTTGGTCTGACCTGGCAAATGAGGCATCTTATGATTATAACAACAGCGTTGACAAGAATCTGTATATTGTTACAAATGCTGCTGCAATTACCTTTGCCTTTAATTTATTCAGATCCATTTAAAGTATTTTCATTATTTAGGTGGTAACGAAACCTTATCACTGAAAGCATCTTTCACACCAAAACTGTCTCTCCCACACTTTTCTGAGTAGATAACCACCTTATTGTTATGAATGAGATCTTTTGTACAACTTAATCTTGGATATGAGCTGGGGGAAATTATATAATGCTGGTTCTGAGTTGAGTGCTTTGCAATGTGAATCGATTGTCTGGTGTCTGACTCATTATGGCCCTGAGAATCACTCACTGTGTTTCAACTCTTCTCTCTCTCCCTCTGCCCCACCCTGTGTATGTGCTTTATGTATGTCTCTAGCTTACATAGACCAGGTAGACATCGCCACTCAGGGCTGGTTCATTGGCTTGATGTGTGCCATTGCGCTCATCATACTGATCCTCCTCATCGTTTGCTTCATCAAAAGGAGTCGTGGTGGCAAATATCCAGGTGAGACCTGACACTTTGTCTTTGATACCAGTAAGAGGAAGATTCCTAGAATTTTTTTTAAATTTTAACATAGCATTTTAAAAATAAACTCTCCTGAGTTTTAAATTGTAGCTTATCTGGTTAATTTTGTTTTTGAGAAATAATGTGTTTTGCTGTTATGTCAATGCCTTTTGGGTGATTAACGACAGGTGTAAATGCATGGTCAGTGACACATCATGAACACAAGTGTAAATGCAGTTGTGTTGTCAATCCACATAGAAAGAGTGTATGGGCGGAAATAGTGATTGTACGTGACTGTTCCGAACCAGTGATGTAGCAGCACATAGGCAGCTATAGCAGCCAGTAAACACAGGAAGCAGTCCTCTCCTCAGTCCTCACATTTTCAAAACCCTCTGTTTGGATTGAAGACGAGACCAATAGAAAACAAGAAAAATCCCTGTCCTGGGGCCTTATTTATAAAACAGTGTATAGGATACGCAAAAAAGATTCTGATTTATAGGAGTGAGTGTGTAGGGAAAGGCGAGTTTGTGCTTTTCTCAGCCATGTGCTTGCCGAACCGCAGAAATGCCACATGTATGGTTTACTGCTCGCATGACAGTGGTTTTTAAATACTTGAATTTAAATAATAATAGTAATCAGGATTAAAACACCTCTCTGTATTCAATTAATCAAAAGTCATTGGGCTCAATTTACTGAATTTATACCAAACATTCTACTTAGCTCACACTAATTTCTGTCTGCCATTACCATGGCAATAATGTTTAAAATTATATGATTATCTGATATTTTATAGTTTGCTCTTAAGTGATTGTAGTGAGGTACTAAAAAAGGATGTCACACCTTGCTAAGCCCTATGAGGAATATTGTGATTTGTGAATATGGACTATACAAATAAAAGTTGATTAATTGGTGCATTACCATGGCTTAAGTCATGCTTCCTGCTTTTGGTCTGGATCTACACATTTGATAATTAAATGGTTTGAAACAAAAGAAATGAGAATGGTGTTAATGTTTTTCAGTTTCTATAAAATGTTTAGGTGGCTGCTGTGTGACTGGTTTCGCAAAATATCTCGGTAGGTGCTGACATGTGATGCTTTTAAGAACTAACATGCAGTGATGCACTAAGTCAAGCAACAAATGCACACACTGGAGTAAAACAAGTTTTCATTACTGTGTGAAGCACTTATGCATTTTACAACTCCAACCCAACAATCAAACTAAAACAAGCTAAAAAATCCCTAAACCTGCATTGTGTTCCAGTTGTATACTATGATAAAAGAGTAAGCAAAGCATAGATTTATTGTCTGTGTTATTGATGTTTTCAAATTCAAAAATTTACACCAACTGAATGATGTCTTCCTGCAGGCACTATTTATCAGTAATTACTTGTACACAATTTGCCAAAGTAGTACAGGCACACATCTGTTTGATTTATAGTATCAGTACGATATGATAGTAGGGAATATGTATGTAGCTGGGACATAGTGTACCTTAACATTTTGATAAATTAAGGCTACAGACAAATGGAGGGAACTCAGTAATATGTTGAAATTAACTCCAGAAACTCCTCAACATGTTGATTTTTTTATGTATGTTATTTAACCATGATAGCAGTGGAACTCTCAGCCAAAGGTTAATAAAGTCACTTTTGTTCTTGTCTCTTCAGTGCGTGACAAAAAAGATCTCCCCTTAGACTCAGTGGACCAGAAAGACCAGGATGGATCCTTTGATTACCAGTAAGTATAATTAAAGACTGTTAACTGCCTTGCCTAAGTACATCATCTGTGTTTGAATACTGACCTTTAAAATAATTTGAAGTTCATTTAAAAATATTTATCAGTCACAGAAATAGTGGTATATTGATTAGGATGGTGTCCATCCTCCACTTTTTTTCTTAATTATTGGTTCCAGGTGCAGAAATTGTCAATAGCAAGTGATGTAAGCAGGGAGGATAGTGGAAATTCAGATCAGATGAGATGTGCATCAATTATGATACAGTTCAGCCAATTAGTTTAGTACTAACAACTGATTCATGGAGAACAGGACTCTATATATGTATATGTGTGTGTATATATGTATATGCTGTAGAACATGTCTTAAATGAATGGGTTGATGAAAGCTGTGCCTTTCTCTCCTTCCAGGTCCCACTGAGCTTTGACTAAAAACTTGTTGAGATTAACCTGCTTTCTAAACCTGATATGTACATGTTCGTTCTAACTCTTCGAGAGCGACAGTGCAGCTTTTTTAGTTTTAATTGTAGATACCCTTAAATGAAAAAATATATATCTGAATCATATAACTGATTTTGGATCCTAATGATGAAAATACAACAGTAAACAATGAATGGCCATAAATGAGCACCAAGAATCTGGGCCTTTACAGAATCCATACTATCTACATTATTTCATACATAAATAAAAAGTACACACAATTAACCTCTTTGCTAAAATATTGTAATGCTGCATTTTTGTGCTTAATACTTTTTGATTCATGCATTCCCAAGATCCTGCACTGTTTGTTAATCAATAATGGATCTAATATTAACATCCACCCCTCTTTTACAGTTGAGGTCATTGCTTTACTCTGATTTTGTCCCTGGTGCTAATGCATCAACCTCACTCCACTCCAGCTCTGTGTCTCTGTGTTTTTGTGTGTGTGCATGCAAGAACTTACATGCATGTATCATGTGAAGCTTGTCTGTCCTCTTTCCTCTCTTTTCTCTGCACATCTATCTTGCTGTCTCCACTTTTTCCTCACATTTCGTCCCTCTCTCTCCCCCATGCTGAAATGGGTCATCTGTCCCTGACAGGAACGAAAACGAAAACAGGTACTCAAGTTTCGGCACGGCATTTTTCTCAGCCTGTGCATGTCGGGTGGAGCAGATGTTTCACCTGAGCTGGGGAGAGGGTCTTGGGATAGAGTATAACTTGTTTGGGGTGCTCAAACAGGACAATCTGTATTATTGGCATTTTGGTAACCTTATAAATGAACAGTTTTCATTAACGATGTCATCAAAATCAGTTTAGCTGGCCAGCTTTAGCTTTAAAAGCAATATTTGAACAATGCAATGAGTGTCATCATAGAAAGTGTTTGACATCCTAGCTGTGTGGTCCGTTTAACAGACAGATGGGCTATACAAACTTTATTTTATTCAGAAATCATTATTTGTCTCATAGGGCTTTAACAAAGTGTGACATCCTCTGCCCTTAACCCTCAACAAGAGTAAAGAAAAACTACTACAAAAAAACTTTACTTTTATCAGGGAAAAAGAATGTAGAAACCTCAGATAGCCACATGTGAGAGATCCCTCTCCCAGGAGGGACAGAAGTGCAATAGATGTATAGTATTTACAGCATTGGTTAGAGTTGTAGGCTTCAGTTTCAGTTTTTTACATAAAAAAAAATGCACAAATATTGCAGTAAATCTGATACAAGTGACTTTAAAAACTCCACTCTACATTTCTTAAAACAGTTTGGAGCTAAATAAGGTGAAATTCATTCTTTTTTACAACAACCACAAATAACCACATTAAAACCAAACAAGACAGAGATAGCTGCAGTCACAGCCTACATCAGTCAATCATTCGATGAAAATAAAGCACATGGTGAGGAATAGCCACAATAGATATCAGATGAAAGGGAGTTATTCAGGGTTATACTGAGTGATATCCCCTTTGCAACTAACATACCAAACATAAGGTTTGCTGTATAGTATGTGGCAGTGCAAGATAAGCTACAGAGCAGCCTAACAGTGCATCACACCATAATTTTAGAATAACAATTAAAGATTTGTGCCCTTTAGGGAGTTACATCTGTATATCAGGTACATTAGGATAAATGGTAAATGGTTAGTATTTATAGTGTGGGAGGTCTTGCACCTTTCTGTTCAAGCTAACATGACTTCACCCCTCTCAAGGCTAATTATATTGTTTTATAAAGTATCTACCACCAGGTGCACATGGGCTGGAGATCCAGAGATCCTCTGTTTTCTCCAACTCATTTGGCATTCTTTAATTTTTCAGCAGGATCCTTAGTTTAATTTTATTGTACAGGGCAAGAGTTAAACATAATAAACTCTATTATAAAAACAAATGTACTATTTCATAACTACATGGGGTCTTATAGTGTAAAGCATTGTACAAACAAGTCAATGGCTGAGTTCTGAGAATATGGCGACAGTCTGATCAATCAGGAAATACTTAATACACAAAAGAAAAGGAAACCTAATGTGAACAATTGTATATGGATCAATTATGACTCTAGTTAATACCCCAAATACCCATTACATAACCATCCATTACAGTGTACAGCCTGCTCAACTTCAACTTGCCATATGAAGGATTTTCAGTGACCTCTCAGATTACCTATCTTTCATTTTTACCACCAAATTAAGTGTTTTGGCCACTGGAAACGTTTTTACAGCCCAAAGCCTCATGCCACATAATCATAAGAATGTCAATATTTGAAAACTTGGCCATTTCAATCATTAGTTAGATTAAATGCTTTTGAATAGCACTTTTCTAGTCTTACTGGCCAATCAAAGCGTATTACACTACTAGTCACATTCATCCACTCCCATAAGTCACTTTTCTATCCAACATCATTCACACACTGCGGAAGATCAGGAGCAATTTAGGCTGACCCAAGGATGCTTCAGCACCCTTACTGGAGGGGATCAAACCACCAACCTTCTGATTAGTGGACCTTCTGAGCCACAGCCGCCCAGTTGTGTGGTATTTTTCCAATGTGTAGTCATTATAGGATACTGGGCTGTTGTCTTCTGTCTGATTGCCTGACTGCTTAACATGCTGGTGTTTCTTGCCCAATCAAAAATTGCCATGATTCTATGGTTTAGAATTAGTGACCTTACTGTTATAATTGAATGTCATAACTGTTTAAAGGTCAAACCAGTATTTTGTTTTATGTCATTATCTTATGAAATGTATTCGCCTCCAACCTGAGCAAAGACTTGTAAATGTCATTGTTATTCTTCATCTCAATACATCAACATTGTTTTTAGTATCTGTTTATTTAGCATGTCTGGTTTGCTGTTTGTTTCTGTTCTACCCACCTCACCTTCATTTCTGTGTTTTTTGTCTCTTTTTGGAATGTAATTTCCTCATTGGTGAAAAGGTCTCTTGAAAGGTATGAAAAGAAGAAGTATCACCTGAGTCCTCCTAATCCCACTCTAAGAGAATCTCACTTTCTATTGCTCCTTTGCAGTGCATTTTCATTTGTTAGAGCCATTCTTGCCTGAATATTATCTATCAAAAGAACTTCTAAGCATGTGTAATCCATTAAAAAAACTATTTCCCAAAACAAATCTCCTAAGTGAACTCAGCATTCACTTCATGTTAATCCATTTTGCTATGGGAGATAGTTTACCAGAAACTATAATCTTGAAGCATCTCAATGGCGGTCGTGTGTGGAGAGATGCATCTCTGATTTACTTCTGGCACTCTTAAAGAGTATCCTTCTTTCTGCCAGTTACTGTGTTGCTGTTGGTAGCTGGCTGCAATATCTTACATAAAGCATGTCTCCTCCAAGAGATGGGACATAAACATCAAAAAATCATTGTACGTGTTAAATAAATGTTTATCGAAAAGGTGGTGACAATCGTTATTCTTGTCATACTGGTGTTGTCCAAGTGTTCATGTTTGTGATGAGTTTGATTTTAATTATTCAATGCTATATAAAGTGAGGTGAGAGGTCATGATTGAAAACTGAAGCTGACTTATGATCCTTTGGGGGGTGTATGGTGGGACCTTAATACCTCGGCTCAGCAACCACTGCACAGACTCTGGCCCTGAATGACATCAACAGTGCAAGATGTCTGCATCCATATCAAAATTTTGTGACATCAAAAATCCCTACCTATGTGTAATCATTAACTGCCTGTGTGGCGGTTAAGTGGTGTCATATAAAACTGATAGTCTTGAAAAAAGCTCTACAATGAATGTAAACAGCTCAAATCAGCCCTTCAAAACAACAGTCATTATTTAGTCTAAAATACAACACAGAAACCTCATGCTAACTGAATTCATGGTACAATGGTGTAATCAGATTGCATATTACTCTTCTCGAGCATTTATCCACTTTATGTTAGCTTATAACTTTATTTCAGAGCCTCACATTATCATATGCTAGCATCTGTTTTTTAAAGCTGCTTCTTGCTCTGCTTCTTGCTCTACTCTAGTTTCTGTGCTTTGAAAAAAAAAAAATTCTGGATTCCATCTGTGCCGAATTTGCTGGATTTTGATTGTGTTGGACCTTGATCATGCTACATCTGCCTTGGTCCATTTATATTCTTGATGATTACATGTCTGGGTCATAAACTGTATCTAATGATGTGTGCGATTTCCATTGTGGTTTAGCATGGAGCATGATGATTCTCATAAGCAACAGTACAGATTCTGTCCTCGTGGAGCATCTGAATACATGATGTACATTTTGAAATGTAATGCTCTTCCACAAGCAGAGAAGAGAAATATCTCAGTTCTGCATTCTTCAAATGCATTTTGCCACTGTCATGCTGAGTGCTTGATATGAGACAAGAAACCATATGCTAGTCTAGAGCTCTTTCTCCCTGTGCATGATGTTCTCCCTGAAATCAGAGTCAAGTGACATGCAGCTATACTCTGAACTGAAATCAACTGCAACTCTGAGTTTCAGTGGACTTTTCAGGCTTATATCTCATGAAAGAATATGGCCAGCATTTAGCATGTGTATGCAAATGTATTGTTTGAGGACAGTATTTATCTCTTAATTACCACAAAATACTGGTTAGCTTAATTGCTTTGCCCATCACTTTTTGGAGGAAATGTAATTCCTATATTGATTGTTTTTTGCTGACAAACATTTTTCCAGACCAGGACTGTGACAACAGAGTCTAAAGTTCATGTCAAGTCCCCCTTGTTGTTTAGGGCTTGGTTATGATAAAGACAAAAAGAAAACAAATGAAGCACTTTATGCTGATAGTGAATGGTTTGCAGATACATTCACTAATATGTTACTTCCAGGTGGCATTATGTTTCCTTCAAACATATTAGTGTAAGTTATACAAATGTTTTTAGGAGACAGGGTTGAGTTTAACACAAAGGTGAAAACTTTTGCTGTAAATCTACAAGCACCTTTGGTACACAATGTGAGGGCAGCTATGTTTTCAAAGTATTG